CTGGGAAAGAGTCTCCAGGAAAAGTTCCGATGAGGCCTGAGTAGAAGTCATCCTCTCACCCGGGCTCTCCCAGGAAAGAGGGCCTCATCTCTGGCCCTGGGGGACTGACTGGTCACAGGAGGACAGCCCCTGAGCATCTCACCGCTGCACTAAGTGCTGTGGATGTGGGTCACTGATGCTGAGGGATGGTGCCTCCGGTTAGGGGCTGGCCTTGTGGATCCAAGTTGGATGATTTCAGACTAGTGTAGTGAGTGTCAAGGAAGGAGTGAGGGGAGGGATGGGGTAGGTTGGGGGGAAGAGAGGAAAACGCAGAACACAGAGGGAGAGAAAAAAACAGAAAAAGTAAAAAGAAAGGAAGAAAGAGAGAGAGAGAGAGAGAGAGAGAGAGAGAGAGAGAGAGAGAGGCCCCTGCCTGGCTGCTCCCTTGTCTCTCTCCTGCTCCTCAGTCCCTTTCTCAGTGTACCCCTCTCTTTGGTCTCTCACTCATGCTGTGCCCAGTGGCTTGTGGCCCGTGTTCAGGCTGGTTTTGAAAAATATGAATGGGCAGATATTCACCTCTTCTTCTGCTCCACCAGATTCAGTCCACCCAGTCCCACCCCCAGCTCTGTTGCAGAACACCTACTGCAATCTCCCCTTCTTCTCTGACTCCGTCCCCAGTGGACCACAAAGATCTTCTCCTACAACCTTCCTTCCCTCAACTCATCCCGTTATTTCAAGCTCCCATGCCAGCAGGCATTCATCTGGAAAACACCAGGTGAACAGTCCAGGGAAACAGATCCCTGAAACCACACCACTGTAGGCAGACTTCTTTCCTGCCCACCAGGTCCCAATGACCTGACATAGAGACTTAATATAAATTATACATGCTTGGTAGAAAGCTCAGGCTTACTGCTAACTAATTCTTTTTTTTTTTTTTTTTTTTTTTTTTTTTTTTTTTTTCCGAGACAGGGTTTCTCTGTGTAGCTTTGCACCTGTCCTGGAACTCACTTGGTAGCCCAGGCTGGCCTCGAACTCACAGAGATCCGCCTGGCTCTGCCTCCCGAGTGCTGGGATTAAAGGCGTGCGCCACCACCGCCCGGCAGTTCTTACAACTTGAATTAACCCAAGGCTGAAATCAATTAAAATAGAAACAAAGAGAGCACTACAAAGAATCAATTGAAGATTAGTTCTTTGAGAAAATCAATATGATAGATAAACCCTCATCCAAATTAACTAAAACTCAGAGAGAGAATGTCCAAAGTACCAAAATCAGAAATGAAAAGGAGAACCTAACAACAGACAGAGGAAATCCAGAGAATCGTGAGGACATAGTTTAAAAACCTGTACTCCACTGGAATTGGAAAATCTAAAAGAAATGGATAATTTTCTGAATAGGCACCATTTACAAAAGTTAAATTAACGTCAGGCAAGCAATTTAAATTGACCCACAGTGCCTAGTGAAACAGAAACAGTCATTAAAAGTCTCCCAACTAAAAGTAGTCAAGGGCCAGATGTTTTCAGTGCAGAATTCACCAGACATTCAAAGAAGAGTTAATACCAACACTCTGCAAATTATCCCACAAAACAGAAGCAAAAGGAACATTGCCCAATTCATTTTATGAGGACACAGTTTTCCTGATATCCAAACCACATGAATACCCAACAGAGAAAGAGAATTACAGACCACTTTCCCTTATGAACTTCGATACAAAAATACTCAGTAGAATACTTGCAAGCCAAATCCAAGAATACATCAAAAAGATCATCCACCATGATCAAGGAGGCTTCATCTGAAAGATGCAGGGATGGGACAACATGTGAAAATCAATAGATGTAATCCACCATACAAATAAACTGAAAGAAAAAAACAACACATGGTCATCTCAGTAGATGGAGCAAAGACCTTTGGCAACTCCAACACCTCTTCATGATTAAAGTTCTGGAGAGTTTAGGGGTACAGGAACATACTCAACATAATAAAGACAGTTTACAGCAAACCTGTAGCCAACATCAACTTAAATGGAGAAAAATTCAGTACAACTCCACTAAAATCCCAAGGCAAGGTTGTCCACTCTCTCCATACCTATTCAATGTACTACTTGAACTCTTAACTAGAGCAATAAGAAAACTAAAGGAAACCAAAGGGATGCAAACTGGAAAAGGAGAAGTCAAAGAATCTTTATTTGAAGATGATATGATAGTATACCTAAGTGAACCTAAAAATTCCACCAGGGAACTCGTACACCTGATAAACCTTTCAGCAAAGTAACTGGATACAAAATAAACTCACAAAAATCAGTAGCCCTCCCATATACAAATGACAAATTGACTGAGAAAGAAATCAAAGAAACAACACCTATCCCCATAGCCACTAATAATATAAAATATCTTGGGGTAACTCTACTCAAGAAAGTAAAAGATTTATGTGGTGAAAACTTTGTCTTTGAAAAAAGAAATTGAAGAAGATGGAAAGGTCTCTCATGTTCATGAATCAGTAGGATTAACATAGTAAAAGTGGCCATCCTACCAAAAGCAATCTACAGATTAGTGTAATCCTTATCAAAATTCCAACACAATTCTTCACAGAACTTGAAAGAACAATTTTCAGTTTCATATCAAAAAACAAAAAAATCTAGGATAGCTACGACAATCCTAAACAATAAAAGAACTGTTGGAGATCTCACAATTCCTGATTTCAAGTTGTACTAGAAATCTATATTAACAAAAACCATATAGTATTGGCATTAAAAAAAAGACACATTGATGCATGGAATAGAATTGAAGAACCAGACATAAACCCACACTCTTGCACCTAATTTTTATAAAGAAGCCAGAAATACACTTCAGAAAAAAAGGCATCTTCAGCAATGGTTCTGGTGAAATAGGATGTCTGCATGTACAAGAATGAAAACAGATCCATACTTACAACCCTTCACAAAACAACTCCAAACAGATCAAAGACCTCAACATAAGGCCAGAGATACTGCACCTTATAGAAGAGAAGGTAGGGAATAGTCTTGACTCATAGACACAGGAGATGACTTCCTGAACAGAACACTGTTAGCATGGGCACAACATTCAACAATTAATAAATGGGATGTCATGAAACTGAAAAGCTTCTGAAAGACAAAGGACACCATCATTCCTACAAAGTGACAGCCTACAAAATGGAAAAAGTTCATATCAACTCCACATCTAGTAGATTAATATCCAAAATATATATTAAAAAAACTCAAGACTAGGTGTCAAGTAACTCTCTTTGTGATGAGGAAGCATGGTCCTGCCCAGGGCCATGACACTCTATGTGGGAAAAGGAGGCTCACAAGCCAGCTTGGGGCGGTCTACCCCAGGCTCAGAGAAGAAAGCACCGGCCCACCTCCTTGAACCTTGTGGCACCAGGCAGACGGACACTACTATGGTGAGCAAATGTATGGAGTGTGGCGGAGAGAGAGGGACAGGATAGCTCATGTCCTGTGGACAGAGGAATATCTGGAGGCAAAAGAGATGTGGAGCGGGCTGAGGTGGGTGGCTTCACTGCCGCCCAGGTCCATGTGATGTCTGGGCCTGGCCTTCTGCAGGGGCCCATGTCTAGGTTCATGGCTCTGATGCAGTCGTCATCTCTGTTGATGACTGTGGCTCCTGATACCACCAAAGGCAGAGAGCATAGGGCTGTACAGAGTTGGTCCCGCCCCCTCACTGACTGTAACACTAGGGAGAACAGGTCCTGTCCCTCACTGGCTGAAGCATTCGGGAGAGGGGAAACTACACCTCATCTGAGCAGCACAATAGAGCAACCCTGTTCACAGGGGCCTGGGAGAACTGGCCCTGAGGGCATGAGAATGGGAGAGCAGGTCATGCCCCTCTTGTATGCTATATGTTGGCGTGGGGGGACGGAAAGATTCCTTCTTCCCCTCCCCCCTTGTCATCTGCAGCAGGTGGGGGACCTGACCCAACCCCTTCCCACCAGCTGCAGCACACAGGAAAGCAGGCCCATTACCTTGCCTGGGCAGCTGTGGGAGGCCAGCTCCCACTTTTTCCCAGGGTACTCTTGAGGAGAGAGGGATAAGAAATATTTAGATAGAAAGGTAGTGTGGAGAAGACAGACAGAAACACAGGATAGCTTCGGGAGGACCTGGATCAATGTCCACCGGCCCCTTTTGTCTCTTCAAGAAGGCTTTTTATATGAGTGCCAAGGGGCGGAGCAAAAGACCTCCCTCTAGCACAGCCAAGTGCAGACCCTTTCAATCACCTGGCAACCACATACATGGTCAAGCCATCTCCTAATGCAGCCCTGCTGGGTAAAGCAAGCTCAGATCTCACTAGGAAACCTCTGTGGGCCCCACAGGCAGCACAATAGAGCCAGCCCTGTTGGTGGAGTTGTGGGTGAGTCATCCCCTAACTTGTGACCATGGAGAGCTGTCCCCATTACTCATCTGTCTTGTGGTGGCATGGGCAGGGGAGAGATGGCCTCCCCCCATCAATGCCTGAGGCAGGTGATAGAGCTGGCCCTGAGGTCATCAGAGCAGAAGAGCGATCCCTGCCCCCCACCATCTGCAGCACCTGCATCTCATCTAGAGGCCCTCTATCTCACAATAGAGCCAACCCTGCTGGCAGAGGTGTGGGGGAGCCAGCCCCAAAGTTGTGAGCATGGGAGAGCTGTTCCCATTACTCATATGTCTTGAGGTGGCATGGGCTGGGGAGAGTGTAGGGCCCTGGCCCCCCATTTTGGGTAGCTGCTGCCTTGCTTGCTGACCTTGACCAGATGTCCTCCCTATGCTGATTCCCTGCCAGTTTCCTTCTTCCTGAACACTCACCGGAGGTTGTTTGTGTATCCTGCATTTGCTGTAAACAGCTTAGATGCAAGGTTGTAAACATCGGTAGCGAACTTCTGCCCTCCGGGGTTCTCCCATTGTGCTGTAAGCCTGTATTTAAGGTTTCCTCCCTCCTTCAATAAAACAGCATTTGGCATTCTGCTGAGGCAAATGACACGCTGTCTCTTGTCTCTGTTTTTTAATCCACAGCCCCTGGCTCGGACATGGTGAACGGGTGGTGGTCTCGTGGGAGCAACCGCTACAGGAGAGATACCCGTCCCTCCCATACATCAATGCCTGAGGTAGGAGAGCTGTCCCTGCCCCTCATCAGCTGCATCTTCCAGGAGGGCAGGCCCTGCACCTCCCCTGGGCAACACAGTAGAGCTGGTCCCGAAGGTGGAGGTGTGGGAGAACTGACCCTAAGGATGTGAAAGCAGGAGAACTGGCCCCTCACCTTGCTCCTTGCTGCAAATAGTGAACCTCCAAGGCAATGCTGGAGAGCTCACCCTGGTGGCAAGGACAGGGGATCTCTGTGTAGACAAAGCCAGCCTGGTCTACAAAGTGAGTCCTAGGACAGTCAGGGCTGTTACACAGAGAAACCCTGTCTTGAAAAACAAAAGAACATAGATACAAAAATTCTTAATACTTGCAAACCGAATCCAAGAGCACATCAAAAAGATTATCCACCATGATCAAGCAGGCTTCATTCCAGAGATGCAGGGATGGTTCAACAGATGCAAAGCAATAAATGTGATCTGCCATGTAAAGAGACAGAAAGATGAAAACCACATGATCATCTCATTAGATGCAGAAAAAAATCTTTGGCAAAACCCAACACCCCTTCATGATAAAGGTCCTGTGATACCACAGAGGGAAAGCATGCTTTAGGAAACTTAACTCTTAGCTGACAATAATAACTGATTCAAATGGGAGAGTAGCAGAAGGTACTTGGCCCTGCTGCCAATATCAGCCGGCAAGCCACATCGTAAATGATGCAGTTGATTTGAGGGCTAAATTTGGTCCTATTTGTTCCAGGGACCAAAACTGCTGGTCATCAGCATCTCAAGATGATTGACTCCTAGGTGCTTTCCTTCTCTGAGAGAGGAGGCTGGAGACTCCAGTCCTCACTGCTCGCTGGGAATCTTATCCCCCTTTCCTCCTCCCCAGCGCAGTCTGGTGCTGTTGTGGCTCTATGCGAGAGGAGACTTGCCAAGCAAAGCTGGACTACTGAGACTAGAAGCTGAGAAACTTCATGCAAACCACAGCTTACCTGGAAAGTAAAAGAGATAACAGCCGACTTGGTGTATGAGGCAGAAGGGGGAGCCCCTATTCCCTCCAACGAGAGCTACTACAAGAGTCTGAAAACCACTGGACTCCAGTGTGAGGTCAAGCGTGTGAATGAGAAAGTGAGAAGGGCAACAAAGCTCTTACCTAATGTGGGAAGAGAGTGGAGGATGCTGAGGTCAGATAACAACATCCGAACAGTATGTTGCAGATTGTTACAGATTATCAAACTTCAGAGAGAGAGACACACTCTTTGCAGTTCAGGAAGGACCAATCTATGTAACATCTGGAGGAGTAAAATTCAAGTTTACAAACCTACTTTGAATGAGAATGGACTCAATAGGCTCACATTTGAATGCTTGATTGGCAGTTGGTGGAGCTATTTGGGAAGGATTAGGAGGTGTGGCCTTGTTGGAGGAGGTGTGCCACTAGGGGAGGGCTTTGACGTTTCAAAAGCCCATGCCATTCCCAGTTAGCTCTCTCTTGCCTCCAAATTTCAGATAAGGATGTAAGTTCTCAGCTACTGCCTCAGCACCATGCGGACCCACTGCCATTCTCCCCACCATGGTGGTCATGGACTCACTCTCTGAAACTGTGAGCCCCCAGTAAACTCTTGTATAAGTTGCCTTGATCAGAGTGTTTCTTCATAGCAACAGAAAAGTACCTAACATGTTTTAAAAATGTATTTATCAGAACAGGCTTCTCCACTGAACAGACCATGTCAACATCATATTAGGCCAAATCTTTTAGGAATTTTTTTTTCTTTGAGACAAGATTTCTCTGTGTAACCCTGGCTGTCTTGGAACTCACTCTGTATATCAGGCTGGTCTCGAACTCACAGAGGTCCACCTACCTCTGCTTCCTGAATGCCGAGATTAAAGGTGTGTGCCATCACACCTCTTGGTTTTTTTAGACAGGATTTCTCTGTGTAGTTTTGGTGCCTGTCCTGGATCTCGATCCATAGACCAGGCTGGCCTCGAACTCACAGAGATCCGCCTGGCTCTGCCTCCCGAGTGCTAGGATTAAAGGCATGCACCACCACCACCCGGCTTCTTAGAGATATTTCTAATGTGACCTGTGGTTTTCATCTGAGAGATGGCAGATTATTTTCTTCTCTGAACATTTTAGTATTAATAAAAGTTTTCTTGGGCTGGGGTAGTGGCTTGCTTTGTAAAGTGCTTGCTGTACAAACATAACAACCTGAGTTTGAACGCCCCAGATTCATGTATAATCCCAGAACTGGGTAGGCAGATGGGAGGATTCCCACGGCTCACTGGCCAGTTAATCTTGCAGCATTGGTGAATCCTAGTTTCAGTAAGAGACACTGTCTAAAAGTAGGGCCTGGAGAGATGGCTCAGTAGTTATGAGCACATACTATTCTTGCAGTGGACTCAAGTTCAATTCCTAGTGTTGTTGGATGACTCAAAAAATGCACTCGACTCTAGCTCCAGGAGATCAATACTCTATTCTGTTCTTGGAGGGCACCTATATTCATGTACACACACACACACACACACACACACACACACACACACACACACAGGGAGGGAGGGAGGGAAAGTATTCTCATTGAAGAATGAACTAGTGAGACACTGTTAAAAAATGTTTTCAGAAAGTTGGGCATGATGGCGCATGCCTTTAATCCCATCCAGCACTTGGGAGGCAGAGGCAGGTGGATCTCTGTGAGTTTGAGGTCAGCCTGGTCTACATAAGGAGTTCCAGAACAGCCAGGACTAGAGAGCCCCTTTCTCAAAAAAAATCAAACCAAAAAAAGAAGAAAAAGAAAAAAAAGTTATCTGAAGCGTTTTCCTGTTGTGGTTAGAGAAAACCAGACCTAGCACGTGAAGTCTCCTAATTAAAGACATCATTTCTTCCACTGTCAAAAGACAACAATTGCTTGCAGACTTCAAAAGTTGTTTTTTTCTTTTGTCTCTTAGACATAAAAATCTTTATTTTTTCCTTCATCAGATATGAGTACCTGATGGAACACAGCTTTTGCATTGATTTACAGTCACTGCAATTCCTTCCCCACCTTTTGTAACAGCAAAAACATCGCTGTGGTCTAGTTTTGAGTCATCTGAGGTACATGAACATCTCAAGTTAGCCCAACAATCAGTTTCTTCATCTATAAGTACAAGGCTGCTTAAGGTTAAATGAGGCTGAATAGAAAACGCTCGTCTCAGCATACAGAAAGTGATGCTACTCATTGCTTTCAAGCCCAGCAACTTAATGGAGAATACTCACTTGCCGTTTTATTACTTACAACACTCAAACCTGATGAAAATAAAAGTGTGTAGTTAGGATCAGATTTACATTGGTTTAATGGTGCTGTGGCTCAGACCCAGGGCTTTGGGGGTGCTAGGAAGCACCCACCCCTGACTGAGCTATACCCTCAACCCAGCTTTACTCATATTGTAACATGAATTAGAAACAAACACCTCTGTAATTCATGACATGAAAATATGCGTGCTGCACCAGTACTCGTATGTAAGAGCATGTTTACAAAAGATAAAAACACGTCTTCAGAAGAAACTTATCAAAATTGGGCATCTTTACATAATTGCGTTCATCTATATTTTAATGTTACACAACAGTTGTTCAGTATATACACTTTGGAAAACAGCCAAGCAAACAAAAATATAATCACAATGCAGATAAACTGTTATGCTATTCTGGGTTGGTACTCAGAATACTTAATACATTAACAACTGGTCATGTTAAATCTGCATTTTTGTTTTTACAAAGTGATTTTGGAGTGAATAAAATTCAATTGTAACTGATTCTTGTTTTTTTAATTAGTCAATTAATTTCATTTACTTATTTTTGTCTTTTTGAGACAAGGTTTCTGTGTCTAGTCCTGGCTGTCCTAGAGCTCACTATGTAGATTAGGCTGGCCTCAGATTCAGAGATCCACCTGCCTCTGCCCCCTGCGTGCTGGGATTAAAGGCGTGCATCCCTACATCTGGCTTTAAAATGTATGTGTATGGGTGTCTTACATGCATGTATGTCTGTGCATGCCTAGTGCCTTCGGAGGCCAGAAAAGGGCATCAGATCCTGTGGAACTCGAGTTCCAGACAGCTGTGAGTCAACCTGTGGGTACCGAGACTCGAACTGGGTCCTTTGGAAGTGCAGCCAGTGCTCTCAGGCTTCCCTCCAGCCTGTGCAACTTATTTTCACTATACATTCCCAATCTATGAAAATCCTTTCCGGACTTTAATAACACACTCTACTACTTGTATAGGCTTGGTTCCGAGAACATCAAATTTGATCCTTTTGAAAAGACTGGTGGTTTTTAGTTTTGTTTGAGATGAATCTCACTCTCTAGAGCATAGGCTTCTGAAACTCAACCGTGTAGCTCAGGCTGGCCTGCAACCTTGTTTCAGCCTGAATGCTAAATTGTCAGTATTGTCGGTATGAGCCACACTATCCGCCCCAACAGTGGCATTTCATAGAGATAGTTTCATTTAGCACTGCCAACTCTGTGAAGGACTTTAGGCCCTCTGATGTTAGCCCGTCATCTGCGACTGTAGAGAGGAGAGCAGTCACTACCCAGGAGAAAGGAAGCCTCTTCATGAGTAAAGCCAGAACTTGTGTCTGGGGCATGCAAGTATTTTCACTGCTGCCAAGTTGGAAAAGACAGTATGCACACTTACACGTCATTCTCATGCTTCAGGTATATTTTTCTGTACTAATAGTTTGTCCATATGAGAAATATGTCATGTAGTGGTTGGATGTAAAAAATTTAAAATATTCTTTAGTTAGACCTGGATACAACTTATAGTATCAAAATATGAATTAAAATGTTGGGGTTACCACCCCTCACCACAGGCCAGGGTGAACCGACCCTAAGGGCATGCACACAGGGGAGCTGACTCCACCCCCTTACCTGAGGTGGGTGGCCCCAGGGGTCTGGACTGACCAGCTTGGCTACCATCCAGGCCCACAGCTGGGCCTTGGGTTGGCCCACCCTAGCATCTACCCCATCTAGGACCTGCTGGAGCTGGTGAAGGGACTGGTCCTGTGGAACGATACCTGCAAGATCTCCAAGACTTTTGGCAGCCATGGGATATCCCAGAGGAGTTTCGGTGAGGATCTGGTGAGGATGGTGTACCAGAAACCAGAGGCCTTGAACCACACCAGTGACTCACTGCAATGAACACTTGCCAGTAAAGCTGATGGGACAAAGAGGTGTACTAGATGGCACACAAGCCTCCAGCGCCACCAGAACCAACGGAGAGGTGTTGGAGAAGCAGGAAAGGAGAAGCAGAGATTTTTCTATTGAAGTGGTTTTGGTTTGGTTTTGTTTTGTTTTGGCTCTTGCTTTTGCTGGCTTGCTTGCATACTTTGTTTCCTTATGTGGGGGAACGTGGCAGGAATGAGGTGAGGATATGGGGGGACCAGGAGGTGAACAGAATTGGGGCACATGTAAAACTCCCAGAGTCAATAAAGAAGTAAAAAGAAAAAGATGTTGGGGTTAACTTGAGAAATGGGGTTAAGTACAGAGTGGGATCTATCAATTCTGGAATTAATTTACGTGTGGGTAGCTGCCTGCATGCCTGTGTATACCCATGTGTGTCTAGTGTTGTCATTAGACTCCTTGGAACTGGATTACAGAGGGCTGTGAGCTGCCACGTGGGTACTGGGACTCCAACCCCAGTCTTCTGTTTGCTCTCCGCTGGCAGCTAAAGTGATAATATTCCGATCAGTGGAAGTTCAAACAACAGGAAACAATTTACAATTTATTAGGCTGTTTAAGAAAAACCCTCAAAAGTAAAAGATACTCAGATTTCATTCTCATGTTAAACTTGTGTCCATGTACGTATGAATTACCTAAGCTCTTGCCATGTGACTGAGTTTGTTGAACTTGGCAAGAATTTGTGACTTACTGACAAGGCTACCTGGCTGCTTCATGCTCAAGCCAAGGACTTGAAAGGTCACACGCTTCCAAGACGAGGAGGGAAATGTCCATGTGCTGGCTGTTTTTCTGTTAGCTTGACACAAACTAGTCATTTTGGAAGAGGAACCCCCATTGAGAAAATGCCTCCATCGGATTGGCGTATAAGGCCTGTGGTGCGTTTTCTTGACTATGATTAATATGGGAGGGCCCAGCTCACTGTGGGCGGTGCCACCACTGGGCTGCTGGCCCTGGTTCCTGTAAGGCAGCAGGCTGAGCAAGCCAGGAAGCAGCACCCACCCATGGCTTCTGCATTAGTGACTTCCCTCAGTGATGGAGGATAAGCTGAGAGTTGTAAGCTGAAATACCACCTTCCCTCCCCAAACTGCCTTTGGCCATGGTGTTTTATCACAGGCACCGAACTGCACGGGATGGGAAGGTGAAGGTCGAGTTGTAAAGGAGACCTTAGGATGGTAGAAATGCCAGCACCGTGCAATGTCTGCCAACGAAAGCTGCTGGCATGTGATTCTATGCCCTTGCTGATTTTCCAGTACAGATGGCTTTTATTTTTCAAGCCCTGGTTAGAACTTCAAGCACAATGTTGAACAGAACCGCAAGTGAACATCTTATGGTATTTACTTATTTTCTTTTCCTTTAAAAAAATTTTTTTTTTGAGACAAAGACTCCTTATGTATTCCTGACTGGTTTGATACTATGTATTTCAGGTTGGCATCAACTTTACACTAATCCTGCCTCAGCCTCCTAACAGCTAGGATTACAGGAATACATTAAACACTGCCTTATTCCTGCTCCGAATTCAGCATTTAATCTATTACCTTTAAATATTTTTTTCAGGTTGAAGGCCTCCTTTATGCTCAGTTATCATAAAAAGATGTTAGGCTTTATTGACTTTTTTTTTTAAAACTTATCAGATGGACACACACGATCTTGTACTTGTGTCCTTACTGATTTGATGTAACCACCCCCCAAAAAGGTGTAGACGAGTGAAAACTTGGAGCCATCCAGTACTCAGTTTCCAGCTGAGGTCTAACAGGACAATTCTCTGTCTTCTTGCTTTAGCTCTTTCAGCTGATAAAAGGATGGGGATGGGGTAAAGCAGGTCAGCATGTTATGCTATGGGGCAAGCTGGACAGGAAGTGAATTCCAACTACGGTCCCTTAGTGGGGAAGCCTCACTGAATACTTCTGAACCTCATTTTTATTTATTTTTTAAAATTTCTATTTATTTATTTGGTTTTTAGAGACAGGGTTTCCCTGTGTAGCTTTGTGCCTTTCCTGGAATTCACTCTGTAGCCCAGGCTGGCCTCGAACTCAGAGATCCACGTGCCTCTGCCTCCCGAGTGCTGGGATTAAAGGTATGCGCCACCACCGCCCAGCTCATTTTTATTTTTGTAAAGTCAAATCTAAGGTGGTGTGTACAGTGACTTTCTAGAACACAATTACTATGAAAAGTAAAACTCAACTGCATATTAGCCTAATTGATTTTTGGACATTAAACCAACTTTGAGTTCTTGGGATAAATCTTACTTGATAAGGTTTATGTATTGCTAGATTCAGTTTGGCAGTATTTTATTAATGATTTGGTGTTTGTATATACAACAGATACTGGTTTGCAGTTTTGCTGTGATGCTTTGGGCTTGAGAGAACAGTGGGACATGTTTTCTATTTTAGGAAGATTTTGCAAAGAAAGGTGATGCTAATTTCAATGTCTGTCAGAACTGAACAGTGATGGCATCTACTTGAAGGATTTTCTTTGTCTGGACTCTTGTGATTACTAATCTTTTTGTTACCAGTTATCTTGTTATTTCAAGTTGCTTTTAAGTCTGCTTGTAGGTCAAAGAGAAATGATAAGGCTATTATCTCCTGTAGCTTTTGAAGTTAAACAAGGAAACAAGGAGCCACTTTCAATGATTGGAAAATTCAGCAGCCATCAGAACTATCCAGTCTAATCTCTATTCTTAACCTCTACTGTAGCTTTAAACACAAACATTTTATCACCTCCTTGTTTTTCATGAACTTATGAACAAGAAATTTCAGTCTGTTCCACATAAAATTTATATACAAGCCTCTTGACTAACACTTGAAGCAAAATCCTGTAATCACAAAATCATAAGCAGTTCTCAGGGTTACAAACAGCTCTTTCTCCCCACCCACCTCTCTCCTTATGTACACAAACAATTCCTATCTGAGAACCTGCAGGGAAGGCAGTGTGGAGTAGGAAACCACTGGACTAGAAATTTGAGCCTAGAACTGAGACTTCAGTTCTGCTCCAATACAAGGCAGTTTGCCTTGATCTATTTTCCCATTGATAAAAGGAAGTTGTTAAACCTGGTGATTGAAAAGATTCTTTCTGGGGCTGGAGCAATGGCTTAGTGATTAAGAGCACTTGCTAGTCTATTATTTATTTATTTATTTATTTATTTAGAAACTGGGTTTCTCCATGTAGCCTTGGCTGTCCTGGAACTCGATCTGTAGACCACGCTACAGAGATCGGCAGGCCTGTGCTTCCCGAGTGCTGGGAGTAAAGGTGTGTGCCACCACCGCCGGTGAGCACTTGCTATTCTTGCAGAGGACACAGGTTCAGTTCCCAGCATTCACAGGGAGTGGCTCGCACCTGTCTATAACTCTAGTTCTGGGGATCTGATGCCCTCTTCTAGTCTCCATGACAACACGTATATATTCAGGCCCCCACACATACACATAAGAGAACTCTGAAAAAAGAAAGGGTTCTTTTTTTGGTGCCAACACTATAATTCAATCTATAGTAATGCCATTCTTGCTGCTTTTCTGAGTCGTCAAAATGAAAATATTTGGTACACATACATATACACATACATATACATCATTACTGGAAGATGAATATCTTCCCGTCCAGTAATGATGATTAAACCCAGGGCCTTCCACATATTAGCTGAACATTGTACCATTGAGCTATATTCACAGGCCCCATTCTTCACTCTTCTAAAACAAATTAATTCACAAAGTCTTAAAATGAGACAAAAGCAAGAGACAGTCTGGTTAAATAATGTAATTCTTCTTCTTCTTCTTCTTTTTTTTTTTTTTTCTTTTGATCTTTCAAGACAGGGTTTCTGAGTAGCCCTGGCTGTCCTGGAACTCAGTCTGGTAGACCAGGCTGGCCTCACACTCCGAGATCCACTCCCCTGACTCCTGAGTGCTGGGATTAAAAGTGTTGCCACCACCGCCACCCAGCTTAAATAAGTGGTCCCTCACACTCCTGAAAGCCTACTATAAAAGCCTGTTGCCAGTTTTCTTTCTGTACATATACCTTTGCCTTTCTACCACACCTCATAGTATGTGATATTTCACGTGAAAGTACTGTAATTACTCTAGTTTTCACAAACGTGAGGTCAGTTTTCAGAAATCATTAACCTGTCAGAAAAACTGAATGGCAGCTCATCAGTTGTCTCTACCGGCACGTTACTTCTCCCAAACTGGCAGGAGTAATGGTGGGTGGGGTAACTTGAAACAAAGGTATGTGGAGTCCGGCTGCAGTGACACCTGTCTGGTGGCATGTCACTGTCTGAATTAGCCAGATGTGAATGGTACACGTCATGGAACGAGTCCTGAGACGAGTGAAAATGCCCTGCTCCCCCTGAGGCAGGCGTGGCGCTGTGATAAGGCTCATCGGGCACACGACAAGCTTGAAAGCAAGTCTTCCTGCCCAATCCTCGATGCATGTCTAACTTGGCAATAAGAGGCTTCCCAACATTCACTTCCTGCTTCTCCTCCACAGTGTCTTCCAGTCCCGAATACTGATACGATAAACATACTGTGAAGATCAGATGTTCCTAAAAATGAAGAGGTTTATCATGTTTATTAACTGTGGAACCCTTAAAGTACCACTCCCTTACCCCACAACAAAGCCCCCCTCACTCAGCTCCCTCTCTGAGGTTCCTTTCCAACACCCCTAGAGCAAACAGGCAGGCTGCACCATTTACTATCTATCTGCTAACAGAGTTTCAGAGATTTCCCATTTCTGATGCACCGCGAGAGGCATTTTTCATGTAGTGACACTGGAATTTCACCCTTCCCCAGAACCAGAAACAGGGTCCTTTGATGTCAAAATCACCTACTTTACAAGGACATTAAAAGCCCTAGCTGCTTTACCATATTATTAGATAGGAACTCAATCAGATAATGGGAGGAGAGTTGAAGTAAGCTAGACATTAACAAATAATAATAGTCTCTTGTCTGCATAACAATTGTCCATTCCTTTGCCTAATTTTTACTACATTGTAACCATGTAGCTAAGAAAAAAAGTGAAAATTTTTTTTGTAAGGATATGCTTATATTAGAAAACTTAACTGTACAGAAGCAGTTTCTTACTTGTCAGTCAGCAAGAAATGGAATAAAAAGCAATTCCAATTTTAATTTGCTCTATGTTTTGTAGAAAGTGACAACAAAGAAATCATGATTCAAAAATGTATCGCATATCCACTATGTACCTAACTTCTCAACAGCACAGAAGACAGAGGTCCCACGGCCAATGTCAGGGACCCTGAGAAGACCCACTGCAGGATGGTTACTGCTGCTCCAATTTAACATCCCAACGAAGCGGCTCATCTACAGCCTACGCCCCACTCAGGTGCAGGTGCACGGCTTTCTCACTGCTACTATAAACAGGAAAAGTAGTGACCTTCAATTTTTGGAGTGAACTGAGTCTAGTGTAGAGGCAATGCTTGGGGAGCTCTCTTGACACTAAATAACTGCCCGTTTCTTCAGGAGTCCCCTTATTTGCATGTTTTGGATCAATGTCTAGGTCCTATAAAAAAACACAAATCAGTGAATGTTAATGATGTAATCAATGGAAGTTATAACATTGTCTATAACATAAAATATCTTCATAGATACTGTTCGCTCATTAGTTCCAGCAGTAAATTTTATGTTGTAATAAACACTTATACTGTACTCAAGTTTTTAAAATAAAGTTACTCAGCAGGGCAGTGGTGACCCATGTCTTTAATCCCAGCATCGGGAGGCACAGGCAGGTGGAACAAAGTGAGTTTCAGGACAGCCAGAGCTACTCAGAGAAACTCTGTCTCTAAAAACCAAACATACACAAATAAATAAGTAAATAAAGTTATTCATGACATTTATACACACACACACATACACCTTGTATATATAATATTCCATTCTTCTCACATTTAAAATTCTATTAGAGGATAAGGTACTGCAGACATCCTTCCTGAGTGAACTTTGGACACTTCTGAATTTGACAAACGTAAGGTATTGTGGCAGTTATTTTTTTTTTTTTTTTTTTTATTTTTTTTTTTTTTTTTTGGTTTTTCGAGACAGGGTTTCTCTGTGTAGCTTTGCGCCTTTCCTGGAACTCACTTGGTAGCCCAGGCTGGCCTCGAACTCACAGAGATCCGCCTGGCTCTGCCTCCCGAGTGCTGGGATTAAAGGCGTGCGCCACCACCGCCCGGCCGTTGTGGCAGTTATTAAACACTATGATCAGTGTCACACAAGTAAGCATGCAGAAGCACATAGACTTCCTTTACACTTATCATTGAATTTTAATTTATTATTTAAGTGACTTCTTTTTTCTTTTGGTGCTGGGGCTAGAATGTAGGGCCTTACACATCTGTCCCTAAGCTATAGCCTCATCTCAAAGTTTAGTCTTTAATAAATGAGAGCATATCATTCTATTTTAAATAAAAGAAACGAGACTTACAAGAGGGAAATCAGTAACATAGGCATCACACATTATTATCTCAGGTGGTTTGTGGACTATACTTGTGTAGATTATCATGACATTTGAGAACTCTGCGGCAAATCCTAATTGAATATGAACACCACATTGAAATTTAAGGCACATACTTTCTGGAAGTTCTGGAAAAGAACAATAGAAACAACATATAAAAATATCATTTAAAGAGTGCTTAGTAAATTTTCTGATGGATAGCAAATATCTGCATGGGGCAGTATATGGTTTGAACTTTTGCTTAAAAATATTATATAATGTTACTGCTGAAACATATACACACAATTAGACCAAAAGCCAAACTTTTGCCATCTGCATATACGGTTTTTCTAGTGGTAATAAAAATATACATAGATTTTTATTGATGACTCAATCTTTACAACAAGAATTTGTGTGGTGTGGTGTAGATGAACAGTCTTATTAAATAAGAAACACAGAGCCAATTGCAGAGTTAAAAGCCCAAGAGGTCAGAGCAGTAGCTGAGAGCTGAGCTTACCCTTCGCTGTCACTGCCGTCTTTCCTCTCAGCAAGAGACCTACTTCCTGTGTGTTTGTCCTTTTTATTGACTTTCTGTTCTGCCTTCTCATTGGTTGTTAACCCAACCACATGACCTCCCTGTCATTGCCTGTCTGTACAGATCTCCAGGTCTTCTATGGTTGGTATTGAGATTAAAGGTGTGTGTCTCCATGCTGGCTGTATCCTTGAACACACAGAGATCTACCTGGCTCTGCCTCCCAAGAGCTGGGATTAAAGGCGTGCACCACCACCGCCCAGCTTCTGCTATGGCTTGCTTATGGTGATATTTTATTTGTATTAAAATGTTATTTGTATGTTAATAAATAAAGTTGCCCGGGGGTCAGAGCTATTAGCAAGCCATAGGAAAGCAGGGCAGTGGTGGCGTACGCTTGTGATCCCAGCACTTGGTAGGCAGAGCTAGGTAAGTCTCTGTGTGTTCAGGGATACAGCCAGTATTGGATACACATGCCTTTAATCTCAATACCAATCATGGAAAACCTGGAGTTCTATACAGACAGGCCGTGACGTAGCAGTCATGTGGTTGGGTTTACAACCAATGAGAAGGCAGAACAGAAATTCCATATAAGGACTTGAACACAGAAAGCAGCTCTGGTTCGGAGAGGTAGGACCACCGCAGGAGGAAGGGTAAGGTTTTAGCTCTTAGCTCTGACCTCTTGGCTTTCTTCTTTGCATTGGTTCTGTGTTTCTTATTTAATAAGATGGTTGGTTACTTCTACACTTGCTATTAGCTCTGACCCCCAGGCAACTTTATTTATTAACATACAAATAAAATCACATTTCAGTACAAATAAAATATCACCATATTTCCTTTTCTATTTTAATAAAAAGAAAAAAGGAAAAAGGTTATAAGAAAAACTATATACAAAAGTACAATAACTATATACCATATATACAAGCAATAAATACCTAAACAATGTTTAGTCCATATGCATTTGACAAATTCAGAGAAAATAATTCCATTATCTATCCTATTTTGCTAAGTCCAAAATGTACCTGATTCAATTTCTATCCTAACTTATATTATTAACAGAACTATCTTATAACGTCTTTCAAATTTATACACTTACTTTTTAGTGAGCTTCTTTTCTGAAATTCTTAACAAGGAAAACTATAACTATAACTAACTAATCTTTAACTCTCTCAGAGACTCAAGAAGGAAATAATATTACCTAACAAAAATAAAAACAGGAAGTGCACGCAAGCAGCTTCCAAAAAAAAAAAAAAAAAAAAAAAAATGTGAGTTGACAGAAACAGCCAGCTGCCTGGACAGTCACCTGAGGTTTCTCCACAGTGTGAAGGATAAAGCCCAGGGTCTTGCGCATTTTACGTAAGCTCTCTACTGTTACACTAAAACCTCTTACCAAAACAAGAATTTAAAAAATATATTGTCACCAAGTGTCTATGATAATTTGGTAACTAGTCATTCAGCTACTCCTGAAGAACTACAGTATTTTTGGGTTTTGATATTTTTCTTCTTCATTTTTTTTTCCAAGACAGGGTTTCTCTGTGTAACAGCCTTGGCTGTCCTGGAACTAGCTCTGTAGACCAGGCTGGCCTTGAACTCACAGAGATCCACATGTCTCTGCCTCCTGAATGCTGGGATTAAAGGAGTGTGCCACCACCGCCCGGCTTGATATTTTTCTATTAGCCCATATTTCATATATTTACTGTTTCAGGATGGTTGGAGGAGCTATTAGATGACACTTACATACGCACCATACCATTTGTAACTGACACAAATACAAATACACTAAAACACAATTATTTTTTGAGTGTGTGGGATTGAAAAATAAAATAAATGATTTTAAGTATACATTTCTCTCTGGTTTTTGAGATAGGGTGATAGGTTCTGGGTAGCCCAGACTGACCTGGAACTCCCTAACTAGCACAGGCTAGCCTTTAACCTTCAACCCTCCTTCCTGCCTCCGGCTCGCAAGGCTGGACTGCAGCTGTGCACCACCATATCCAGTTTGGTATTGTCTGATGAAAGGTTGTTCTCTGTCGAGCTAACTGAATTTTCATTTTGTGGTGTGGTGCTAGGACCCTAACGTGAGGACTCATGTATGCCAGGCAAATACGTGACTTCTGAGCTCTGCCCTATCCCTTAATGTTCATCTTTACCACTGTAGTTTTGTGTCTGTGTACACACACACACACACACACACAGTGTTGTTTATGTGTGTGTGTGTGTGTGTATACATAGACACAAAATACATATACATGTATATGTGGAAAAGATATTCAATTTTAATTATTTGTGCATCTATCTAGAAGATGATGGATTTATAGCACTTTACCCTTTAATGTGCTCTAACATGACAATTTGACAAAAATTACAACTTAAGAGAACAAAGCATTACAAAGACTTTTTAAAAAGAAGTTCAAGAAATACATTATTCTTCAGTTTTTTTTTATGAAAAAAGACTCAGAGGAGATGCTTGGGGAAGTTCACAGACAATCCTTTCCTCCAGGCAGGACTTGAAGCTTGTTTTTCCTACACCATGCAAAACCACCAGAAGGCCATCAAGGTGCAGACCTCATTTCTCCTCATCTTCTCTTGTCTTTACCACTCTTCCCTACTAAGTGTCACAGATCGCAGGACAGCAAGAGCTGGGAGCGGCTGTCTGCACAGGAGAACTGGGGGGTGATATCTACAACCCTAGGAGACAGAGCTGAGCACACGGTAGAATCCAGACCTGCCTGGCTCCTGACAACTCTACATTTCAGAAGTCACAGTATGGAGAAGTCAAAGGCTTGCCTGCATCCCACATAAATAAAAATTTAACTCACTTTCAGAACAGAATTAAACATGATTATTTAAGTTTTGGAGTTCTAGGCCAGCCTAGGTTACATAATGAGGCCTTTCTCAAAAGACACAAACAAAAATAAATAAAATTTGTCTTCACTAATAGTAAAATAATAAACTAGATAATTTGGTATTTTTAGCATAAACCAATATAATATATACAACTGAAATATTTTGGACTTGCCTACTAGGTGAACACTTACTTTTTGTTTTGTTTTTGTTTTTCAAGATAGGGTTTCTCTGTGTAGTTTTGGTGCCTGTCCTGGATCTTGCTCTGTAGACCAGGCTGGCTTTGAACTCCTGAGTGCTGGAATTAAAGGCATGCGCCACTGCCACCTAGTGAACACTTAACTTTTGAGGTAGCATCTTGTCATGGATCTAGACTGATCATGAACTCATGATCTTCCTGCCCCAGCCTTTCAAGTGCTGGGGTACAGGCACACACCACTATTTGCCACCTACCCCACCCCAATTTCATTGTAAAACTCAGGAGAAAACTCTTCAGTCAGGCTAAAAAAAGACTTACGATTTTAAAAATAAGTTTATACCTGGGCATGGTGGCACACACCTTTAATCTCGGCACCCAGGAAACAGAGGTAAATGGATTTCTGTGAGTTTGAAGCCAGCCTGGTACACATAGTGAGTTCCAGGCCAGGCAGGGCTACATAGTGAGACCCTGTTTCAAAAAGCAAAGCAAAATGAACAAACCAAAAACAAAATTAATAGTAAGTTTATGACAGAAAGCTCTCAGAAGAAACAGACTGGAGCATACCATGCGCCTTGGCCCACTGTAGATTCCGTACTAGGGACTCTGCGGAGCAAGCTGTCCCCTGGATTGGATCAGTAAGTGCTCTTTTTTCAGACAAGCTGCTTCGAATCTCTAGAGCTTGTTTGCCCTTGGTAAGGTGACATTTCCCCATATCTGAAAGACAAGAGAGTAAACATTTTTTAAAGACTGATTCTTTTGTCTAAAATATTCAGGCCAGGCATGGTGGCGAACACCTTTAATCCTGGTGCTCCAGAGGCAGAGGCAGGAGGATCTCTGTGATCTGAGGCTAGCCTGGTCTATGTAGCCAGATTCAGGATAGCCGATAATAAAGAGAAACCATGTCTAAACAAACAAACAAATTCAGGTTAAGCATTTCCCAGTAAGTCAGGTTGTAGTGTCAATATCACCCGTTAACAACCATTTACTCAGTGCTTACTGCGTACCAAGCTTGGGGAAGAAGCAGTGAGGTGAGCAGACCCACAAAACACTGACCTGAATGTGTGCTTCCTAATTATTAGTTACTGTTTTTCTGAGACAGGGTCTCATGTTGCGTGTGCTAACCACCTCAACCTCACTACGTAGCTGAGGCTAGACACAAACCGGTATCAATACCACAACTGGCTCAGCATGTTTCCTTTTTAAGAGAGATGCCACGGTAGCTTTACGTCTGTATACTGCTGAGAAACGCTTTCAGTAGAAAGTCAGATGACAACACATACATGAGAAAATTGAAAATGAAATGTCCCGTTTTCTTCAACTATCTCTATTTTTAAACAGGAAGCAGTATGTTAAAGCCACTTACCCAGCCTAAGCACCACCATTTCCTTGCCCCCAGCTTGAAGTAACCATTACTCAATTAACCATTACACAGTATTTGTAAATAGTCTGTTAATGTTTTAGCTTTGAGTTTAACAAAAGTGATATAAGCATGTTTTTGTAGTTTTATTATTTATTTATTTATTCATTTATTTTGGTTTTTTGAGACAGGGTTTCTCTGTGTAGCTTTGCGCCTTTCCTGGGACTCACTCTGTAGACCAGGCTGGCCTCGAACTCACAGAGATCCGCCTGCCTCTGCCTCCTGAGTGCTGGGATTAAAGGTGTGCGCCACCATCGCCCGGCGTAGCTTTATTTTTATCTAACATGGACAGACTTTTGTTTATTTGTATGCACCAATTTAAATTTAAAATCTATCATATATTTGGTATGAGTAAATTAATGGTAATTTACTGATTCTACTTCTGTTTTGTTGTTGTTTCTTGTTTTTTTTTTTCAAGACAGGGTTTCTCTATGTAGCTCTGGCTGTCCTGGAACTCACTCTGTAGACCAGGATAGCCTCAAACTCAAGAGATCCGCCTGGCTCTGCCTCCCGAGTGCTGGGATTAACAGCGTGCACTACCACCAGCAGTCTACTTTTGTATATTATACTATGAACTGTTAATAAATAGTAAACCTAAGATAGGCGTGAAGGTTTGCTCCTGTATCTCAAATCACAGATAGATCAGTATGTTGGGGATTACACAGGGAGAGCAAGGACTATATGTTAAAGATTCTTGTTGGTTAAAAAGGAAAGATATACAAAGAACTTTAAAAAAATAAAAAAGAAACAGGAAGACTTAACCAAATAGAAAAACTGGATGGCTAAAAATAGTTAAAAATTCAGGTATGCAGAGCCAGGCGGATCTCTGTGAGTTCGAGGCCAGCCTGGATTACCAAGTGAGTCCCAGGAAAGGCGCAAAGCTACACAGAGAAACCCTGTCTCGAAAAACCAAAAAAAAAAAAAAAAAAAAAAAAAAAAAAAAAAATTCAGGTATGGTGGTACATTCCTGTAATCCTAGCACTGGGATTTTGAGTTTCAAGGGAGTTTGAGTTTCAGGCCAGCCTCAACTATCTAGGGAAATGCCTGAAAACAAAACAAAACCAACCAACCAACCAACCAACCACCACCACCAACAAAAATCAAAAAAGGTAAATGAATTAAAATTCTTAGTTTCAAGAAAAGGTCATCATTTTGCATTAAAAATCTGTTACTTGATGACAGGCAGTGGTGGCACACGCCTTTAATTCCAGCACTCAGGAGGCAGAGCCAGGCGGATCTCTGTGAGTTTGAGGCCAGCATGGTTTACAGAGCGAGATCCAGGAAAGGTACCAAAACTAAACAAAACCAAAAAAAGAAAAAAAAAATCTGCTACTTGCTGCCTCTACAAGTTACAGCCAAAGCAGAATGACATGAAATGGTTGGAAATAAATGTTTAACAAATAGCATACAGTCAGTCAAAAGGCAGCCAATGTGGCCCTACTAACATGTACAAAAAGGTAAAAAGCATTCCTAACAATCACTACACAAGTGTGTGTTAATCTTCGGACATTACAAATGGAAGAGCAGAGGAAACTCAAAGCAAGGTAAAACACAACAGAGAAGCAGAAAGGAGTGAGACACCAGCTAACGAAGAATCAGAGGAAACCAGCGGGCCAAATGTAAAACTGACCAAGTCTGGAGCAGATGTTCAAGGGGAAAAAGCAAGTAGGCACAAGCAAGAAGATTGGTGAAAAGAGCATGAAACTATGGCTAATGCAGAAATTAAAGAAGACCACTAGAGAAAACTATCTGCAACTGCATCCGAACAATTTTGAAAACTGTCTAATTCCTGGAAAAACGTAACTTACTAAAAATTGACTCAGTAGTAGTAAAAATCATCTCCCCAAGAAAATATCATTCCTAGACTGTTACACAGTACCATAAAGCCAAATACTATAATCACAGTTATACAAAACTCTTCACTAAATTGGGGGTTCTCTGAATTAGAGTTCTCAAATGAAATAGTACCAACAGGATATGTGTGTGTGTATACATGTTTACAGAGAGGGAGAGGGGGAATTAATGTAGGAATTGGCTTAGAAAATTGTGAAGATGCATGTTTAAAACCTGCAACATTGGCAGACAGGCAGGAGATGGACACAGCAAAGAGTTATAGTCTGATTTCTTCTGGCAGAAATCCTTGTTTGGGTGACATCTTTATTCCTCTTCCAACCAATGGATGAGGCCCAAACACATCACAGTATAACCTGCTTAATGAATGCCCATCAATCTAAACATTAATCCCATCTAGAATAATGAATGGATCAACCATCGAGAAACAACCTGAACAATGTTTGACTAAATGTCTTGGCACTGAGGCCCAGTCAAGTTAACATACAATTAACCACTGAAAGATTCAATCCATTTTAAAAAACCAACATAACATTGATATCAAAACTCAAAACAAATAGTATGAGAAAGTAAAAATACAGGCTCATCTCTTATATGAATATAGACTTGAAAATTCTTTTTTCTACTCAACATTTTCAATGAACATTTAAAAACATAATTAATATTTGCAACGAGATGTGAAAATTCTATGCAAAATGCTGGCATAGTAAATCAGGCTACATTTAAAATGTGCCAATAAAATCCACTCATCTTAGCTGAATATAATCAATCATATTGAGAGATTAGAAGAATGGAAGCATCATATTACTTTCTTCGTAGTGGAAGAAAAACTATTAAATATATTCAACATTTTAATTCTCAAAAAATCAGCATAGAAAAGAGCTTTCTTAACCTCACAAAGAATATTAAAAACTTGTATTATTCTGTATGTGCATTCCCTTTAAATCAGAAACAAAACAGCGTTTCCTTCAAAAACTACTATTTGTACTCAGTGTCTTAAGAGGTGCAATCTAATACCACAGAATTACACAACATTCTTCTCAATCAATGAGCAAAGCAAAAACAACATAATCAAAACACGACAAAGGCCGCAGAGACAGAACAGTGGCTAAGAGCACTTGTTCTTGGACCCAGGCTCGGTTCCAAGCACCCACACGGCAGCTCACAACCACCCATAACTCCAGTTCCAGGTGATCCAATGCTCTCTTCTGATCTCCATGTGTACAAGACATGTGGTGCACAGACACACATGTGAGCAAAACACTCATACAGATAAAGTAAGTTAAAAAAGTATGAGGAAAACATGAATACATTTTCACTTAGGTGGATTTGCATGACAATTAAAATATGAACAGATATTCAACATCACTAATGATTAGGGAAAAAAAGCAAGACCACCAAATATTATTTAACATCATGAGATAGGCAAAGCCTGAAAAGTCTAATCTATCAAGTGATGGAGGGAGTTCAGATTCACACTGTCTCTTGCACAGTGTTGGTGGGGAGTGGGTACAGACAGACCTTTTACAAAAGTTTGGTATCATCTCTTACAACTGAACACTGGCATACACTATGACCCAGCAACTCCAAATCACAGGTTTATAACTCCAAGAGACTCTTGGTGTACACTTCAGGGTACATGTGTGAGAATGTGAGAATAGCACTGCTCACAGTAACAAAAATACCAAAGAATTCAAATGTCCATGCATAGGACAGTAGCTGAAAAAAACCATAGCATTCCCTGATGGAATTTTATTAGTGCTGCAGTCATTCAACAGTATGGCTCAATGTTAGAATTGAAGAAATTCAAGACCTAGGAGATTACATGGAGCACAATATCTTTTTATTTTTAAAGCTAAAAATAACCTAAATACAAAGACATAATTTTGGAGAACACATAAAAATTCTATGAAACTGTAACAAGAAAATGGAAGAAATGATAAATAAAATTAGGATGATAGCTGGGTATGACGGCTCACGCCTTTAATCCCAGCACACGGGAGGCAGAGGCAGGCGGATCTCAGAGTTTGAGGCCAGCCTGGGCTACAGAGTGAGCTCCAGAGCAGTTAGGGCTGTACAGAGAAATCCTGTCTTGGACAAAAAAATAAATAAATAAATAGAGGACATTCATAGTTATTACATGTAGGTTATTTGCAAAGTCTTAGATTTACATTGAACATCCATTGATAATAAGGGTGTTCTGAAAAGTAAAAAATACAGGACTAGGCTATGACTAAACACTGTAGCCTTATAAAAGCAAGCAATTTATTTCATTTCACATTTAGTTTCATTTGTACACAGTTGAAATTGACAAGGTAATGTTTCCCCTTCAATAACTTATGCTCTTCAAATATTTTCCATCATACTTTTAAAATTAACTATTTCAGAAGCCAAAAGGGGAGGAACAGGAAGTTGTATTTCAAAGTTGGATGACTTTTTTTTTCCCCAGACAGGCTCTTGCTATGTATCCCTGGCTGTCCTGGAACTCATTCTGTAGATCACGCTGGCCTAGAACTCACAGAGATCTGCCTGCCTCTGCCACCTAAGTGCTGGGATTAAAGGTGTGAAGCCATTAAGCTTGACTTCAGAACAATTTCTTATAATTACTTCTGTTCTTCACTACTGAGGTAATCAGTTACAACTGTTAACTTGACTTATTCTAGAATGACCGAGGAAAGGAAGCCTCACTGGGGAAGGGGGGTTAGGCTGGTCTGTTGGAGGAGCTATCTTGATTATGTGGAGTGAGGCAGGAAGACCATCATTCTCTGGGCAGGCATCCTTGACGGCATGAGTGGAGGTAGTGAGCAGCAGAGTGCACGCATTACTATACTGCTTTTTCTTCTTGACTGTGGATGAAATGTGACTAACTGCTTCAAGTCCCTAGCATCTCGACTTCTTGTAATGATGGATGTAACCTGGAACTGTGACAACCCTTTCTTTCTTAAGTTGCTTTTGTTACAATATTTTATTACAGCAATAAGAAAGGAGACTAAGACTATCATGCTACATTAAACTACTATGATTTCATCAAAGGTTACTTATTTTTACAGTTGGTTGGCTATTACTCATGATATGAACAGTATGTCTAACACTGAACTACGTGTTTTACTCTAATCTACTCTTGTCTGGGCAGTTTTAATTGTGGAGGTATGCCAGGTCTGAAACAACAGCAAACTTCTTAAGAAGTTCAAATACACTCATAGCAAAAGACAACTTGGTAACCATCACAGGTAAATAAGCATGTGTTTATTAAATTTTAAAATAGTTAAAATGTACTTTGGGTAAGTGCTCTACCAATGGGCTCCACTTCCAGTTTTAAATATACTTTAAAAATGCAATTAGCTAAAGCATGAGGGCTCACGCCCCTCATAAAGACACTTGGGAGGTTGTGGTTGATCAACACAACTGTTTTTCAGGACAGCTTAGGCTACCTGACTCCCATAAAAGAAACTTAAAAAAAAAAAAACCTTAAAACAGCCAAAGAGAGTCTGGGGCACCTTCACACACTTCAGTTTGAAGGTAACTGAAATAATCCAAGGGCTTTAAATTCGAAGAAGCAGAATGTTTTCATATGAAGGCTTAAGAGGAAACTCAATATGTAAAACAGATAAAAGCAGAACTTCTCTGGCTGAAGCAGGCAGGAAAAGGCTAAAAACCTGGCAGGTTATGCTAAGTGATTAAGTCACATGGTGTGTGTGTGTGTGTGTGTGTGTGTGTGTGTGTGTGTGTGTGTGTGTGTGTGTGTGCTGGAGCTTGTGAAAAAAAAACATGATCAACAGCTCTTAGCAAAATATTTTATTCTCAATGTGCTATCTGAGCTGTGTGTATTCAGTAGACTAAGGCGGGGGACTGCTGAGCATCTGAGGTCAGCCTGCGCTACAGAGTGAGCAAAACAGAGCCTCAAAACACACCTAAAACACAACCTGTCAACTCTGTAAGATCTATGAAATTTCAGTTTTTAGGGTTTGCAAAGGGTGTACCTTCTTTCTGATGTGGTTTATATAAGTTCATCAAAAAAATATACTGCAAAACACAGTAGTAAATAATCTGAGGCAGGGGCTGGAGAGATGGCTTTAGTAGCTGGCTGCTCTTACAGAGGACCCAGGTTCAACTCCCAGCACCCACATGGGAACTCACAACCATCTGTAACTCCAGTCCCAGGGGATCCAATGTCCTCTTCTAGCCTTCTCAGGGTCCAGGCATGCACATGAAGTATAGACATACATGCAGACAAGACAGCTATACTTATGAACAAAATTAACTAAAAATAAAGATAATAAAAAAGGCTAGGACAGGCAAATTGTGAGGTTAGAGGCCAGCCTGGGCTACACAGTGAGACCTTGTTTCAAAAAGCAAAAACACCAAATCCAAAGATCTAACAAGTTCAACCACACTGTAACCTACGTATTTAACAGGTATAGATTTGGCCTTGTGTGAGCTACAGCACTGTGTGAGCAGACAGGGAAGGGTGCAATAGCAGATGGAAGATAGGATCTATAAGGCCATATCCGTAAAGCAGGACCTGGAAACATCTAAGTTCATCAAAGAAATAATGAGGTTGGCTTTCTTCTAGCAGGGTGTCAACATTTCTGAAAGATAAGGTGTAGAGGAAGATGCCTTGCTTGCATAGACTGCTCACTGCACTTTTAGTTTTCCTAACAACTAGACTGGGCAGCAGCAAGGAACAGGCTGGACATAAGGCAGAGCTCTGAAGACTGAACTCCATCTCATCACTGCTCATGAGATTCGCCAAGACAGCAAGGAAAGAGAAGAACTGAGAGCATCAGTGTTGCTGAGCATGAAGCCAAAAACTGTTTCCTAAAGCACAGGATAATTCCAAACCCACACAGTACTGATGAGAATAACCACCGAGCAAAGAACCCCAAGTGGGTTTCTCTCCACTGCTGGGCTTTTTCTGAGTGGATTGCTCTCATTAAAACTTTACCTTCTGCAACTTCATCCAGTAACACAGTAATTTTCTTGTCTTCTAATAATCTATCTTTTAAAAATTTCATAAAAATCCCATTTGCCAATCCAGAATGCTGGATTTCAAAAGCTTCTGCTCCTTGGCACCTTAAAAACACCAAGAGAAAGGGTGAGATAAGCCAGGCACAGAACAACAAACCCATGTGCTCACTGACAAACCTGAACACACAACAAAGAACACCAAAGGCAGAATGGCGGTCATCAGAGGCTGGGAAGTGGGGGTGGGAGGGAGATGCTAGTCAGGGCATAATGCTTCTTTCTCTGAGACAGGGGAAGTAAATGGGTGTGAAAGGTAACTGGAGTACTAACGGGCTTCATACAATCAGTCCATGCTGTGTACATGGTAGCACCTTGTACCCCACAAATATATATGCTCATAATTTGTCACTATCCAATAGAAAAGTCACCAACAAAAAGGAGAGCCAGTGTTTGCTAGTGGGGTGCCCACACCCACAGATAAGCTTCCCTCTTCCGTCTGCCCTTCAATGGCTTCCCAAGTAGAACTGAACTTCAGGCAAAAGTGAAGGGTTCTGCGGCTTAGTGAGAAGGTACTGAGACCGAGGTGCACAGCTGAAGCTTTCTATCAAGCACATCAAGAGGGAAAAATTATGCCTACATGTCTATGGATATTTCTGTCTCTAATCTACAATCAAAACAAAGACATACAAGAATAAAGAAAACTGAATATAAAGTTTTCTTACGTGGCATATCCAAACACAATATTGGCAGTGACTTTCAGTGCATCCAAGATTGGAATGGTATCATCATAGTCATTTCTATTTATACGGATGGGAAGGAGAAAAGGGCAGATACAAGTATGAGAAATTACACTGTTCTTCAATGAAAAACATGCTACTACTTTTAGTACACATAAAATGACAGATCAACTTCTTTTACTTAGCCAGCTACATACAAACCAAAAGCAACACAGGTTCCGACGTTATGAAGACAGTAAATAGTCATCCCATCTGTTGTTAAGCTTTTCTTTAAAAGCTAGGATCTTCCTAGGTAGTGTGGACTAGCCTCAAACTCAAGATCCTCCCACTCTCACTCTCCCGAACCCTAGGATACTGCTATACCTGGCTTTTAGATTTTTTTTTTCCAGGCAGGGTATCACTATGCAGCTCTGGCTGGCCTGGAACTTGCTGTGTAGACCAGGCTAGCCTTGAACTCACAGAGATCTGCCTGCTTCTGCCTCCTGAGTGCTGGGATTAAAGTCAGTTCACACCTGGCTTTTGTTAGCTTTAAAAATGAAGTTGTATCTGAACTCCCTCACTGAATTCTGACTGGTAAGCAAAAAATCAGAGAAGAATAATCATTGGTTGTGATTCTTGGGAACACAAAGCCAGACAAGTAGATTTAAGACTTCCAAAATCTATCCAACTACTTTGCACATTTGTAAGACAAGACAGACTGATGACTACATGCTCTAAATCCATGGGTGTGACTTGTTAATTCCCAGAGAAAAATGGCAATGACTGCTAGCAACATGTGTACGTATCTAGAGAGCCAATGCTTTATGGTGCAAATATATAACTTATATCTTTTAGTCCCTTCTACAGCAAACAGAAAGTAAGTTAAAATAATTAGATACTCATACTAAAAATATATTTTCATCAAGTCTGCTTTCAGAAACTCATAATTCCCACTGGTTCTTAGCACCTTACAGAACTGCCTTGGGTGGAATTTGTTAAGGCTGATATTTGATCCCAACAATAGCTTTACAGAGATTAGAAATTGTACCTTTTCCGACACATATCCAGCAAGAACACATTGAGTCCGGTTTCCTTTTCTTGCATTAATTTCAGTATGTTTTGTACGCACAGGCAATTTTCGGACCTATATGGATTTGGAGCATCAACCGGAACCATAAAACTGTTCCCAAAGTTTTCATAACCATGCCCTGCATAATATAACAACCCTGGGGGTGGGGAAAGGAGAGATGTCAGCTCTAAATGCATTTCAACGTTTACAGATATATACTGTAATAATGACTTCTTTTCTTCAGGCTTATGGAGGCATATCTAAGAAACATCCAATTACAGACACAATCAATAATCAAAAGTTGATCTGAACTTTATATTATTTTGGAAATGGTCTTCACTTAAATTCCATATTTTATAATACCACCAAGCTACTGTCTGAAATACATTCTAATTGATAGAAGAAAGACCCAGTTAACAGTATACTGTGGAGTAGAAAGGGGTAGTGAGGATACTACCTAGGGACTTCTTTCCTAATCTGTCCCCTCATGAGGCTAGGGTACAGCAAAGAACCTTGGTAAATATTTAACAGGTTAATAAGCAAACACAATTCACCATGTTTAACATCATTTACCATTAACAAATCAAAACTGTGGTAAGATACCATTTCACTCTTACTAGGACAGTTGTAATCAAAAGACAGGCAGTAACAACGGTGAGGAGAAATCGGGCTGCTCAGTCACTTGTCCTGGTAATATAATACGGTATTATACAAGGATGCTCAGTCACTTGTCCTGGTAATATAATACGGTATTATACAAGGATGCTCAGTCACTTGTCCTGGTAATATAATACGGTATTATACAAGGATGCTCAGTCACTTGTCCTGGTAATATAATACGGTATTATACAAGGATGCTCAGTCACTTGTCCTGGTAATATAATACGGTATTATACAAGGATGCTCAGTCACTTGTCCTGGTAATATAATACGGTATTATACAAGGATGCTCATTCACTTGTCCTGGTAATATAATACGGTATTATACAAGGATGCTCAGTCACTTGTCCTGGTAATATAATACGGTATTATACAAGGATGCTCATTCACTTGTCCTGGTAATATAATACGGTATTATACAAGGCTGCTCAGTCACTTGTCCTGGTAATATAATACGGTATTATACAAGGATGCTCAGTCACTTGTCCTGGTAATAATATAATACGGTATTATACAAGGATGCTCAGTCACTTGTCCTGGTAATATAATACGGTATTATACAAGGATGCTCAGTCACTTGTCCTGGTAATATAATACGGTATTATACAAGGATGCTCAGTCACTTGTCCTGGTAATATAATACGGTATTATACAAGGATGCTCAGTCACTTGTCCTGGTAATATAATACGGTATTATACAAGGATGCTCAGTCACTTGTCCTGGTAATATAATACGGTATTATACAAGGATGCTCAGTCACTTGTCCTGGTAATATAATACGGTATTATACAAGGATGCTCAGTCACTTGTCCTGGTAATATAATACGGTATTATACAAGGATGCTCAGTCACTTGTCCTGGTAATATAATACGGTATTATACAAGGATGCTCAGTCACTTGTCCTGGTAATATAATACGGTATTATACAAGGATGCTCAGTCACTTGTCCTGGTAATATAATACGGTATTATACAAGGATGCTCAGTCACTTGTCCTGGTAATATAATACGGTATTATACAAGGATGCTCAGTCACTTGTCCTGGTAATATAATACGGTATTATACAAGGATGCTCAGTCACTTGTCCTGGTAATATAATACGGTATTATACAAGGATGCTCAGTCACTTGTCCTGGTAATATAATACGGTATTATACAAGGATGCTCAGTCACTTGTCCTGGTAATATAATACGGTATTATACAAGGATGCTCAGTCACTTGTCCTGGTAATATAATACGGTATTATACAAGGATGCTCAGTCACTTGTCCTGGTAATATAATACGGTATTATACAAGGATGCTCAGTCACTTGTCTTGGTAATATAATACGGTATTATACAAGGATGCTCAGTCACTTGTCCTGGTAATATAATACGGTATTATACAAGGATGCTCAGTCACTTGTCCTGGTAATATAATACGGTATTATACAAGGATGCTCAGTCACTTGTCCTGGTAATATAATACGGTATTATACAAGGATGCTCAGTCACTTGTCCTGGTAATATAATACGGTATTATACAAGGATGCTCAGTCACTTGTCCTGGTAATATAATACGGTATTATACAAGGATGCTCAGTCACTTGTCCTGGTAATATAATACGGTATTATACAAGGATGCTCAGTCACTTGTCCTGGTAATATAATACGGTATTATACAAGGATGCTCAGTCACTTGTCCTGGTAATATAATACGGTATTATACAAGGATGCTCAGTCACTTGTCCTGGTAATATAATACGGTATTATACAAGGATGCTCAGTCACTTGTCCTGGTAATATAATACGGTATTATACAAGGATGCTCAGTCACTTGTCCTGGTAATATAATACGGTATTATACAAGGATGCTCAGTCACTTGTCCTGGTAATATAATACGGTATTATACAAGGATGCTCAGTCACTTGTCCTGGTAATATAATACGGTATTATACAAGGATGCTCAGTCACTTGTCCTGGTAATATAATACGGTATTATACAAGGATGCTCAGTCACTTGTCCTGGTAATATAATACGGTATTATACAAGGATGCTCAGTCACTTGTCCTGGTAATATAATACGGTATTATACAAGGATGCTCAGTCACTTGTCCTGGTAATATAATACGGTATTATACAAGGATGCTCAGTCACTTGTCCTGGTAATATAATACGGTATTATACAAGGATGCTCAGTCACTTGTCCTGGTAATATAATACGGTATTATACAAGGATGCTCAGTCACTTGTCCTGGTAATATAATACGGTATTATACAAGGATGCTCAGTCACTTGTCCTGGTAATATAATACGGTATTATACAAGGATGCTCAGTCACTTGTCCTGGTAATATAATACGGTATTATACAAGGATGCTCAGTCACTTGTCCTGGTAATATAATACGGTATTATACAAGGATGCTCAGTCACTTGTCCTGGTAATATAATACGGTATTATACAAGGATGCTCAGTCACTTGTCCTGGTAATATAATACGGTATTATACAAGGATGCTCAGTCACTTGTCCTGGTAATATAATACGGTATTATACAAGGATGCTCAGTCACTTGTCCTGGTAATATAATACGGTATTATACAAGGATGCTCAGTCACTTGTCCTGGTAATATAATACGGTATTATACAAGGATGCTCATTCACTTGTCCTGGTAATATAATACGGTATTATACAAGGATGCTCAGTCACTTGTCCTGGTAATATAATACGGTATTATACAAGGATGCTCAGTCACTTGTCTTGGTAATATAATACGGTATTATACAAGGATGCTCAGTCACTTGTCCTGGTAATAATATAATACGGTATTATACAAGGATGCTCAGTCACTTGTCCTGGTAATATAATACGGTATTATACAAGGATGCTCAGTCACTTGTCCTGGTAATATAATACGGTATTATACAAGGATGCTCAGTCACTTGTCCTGGTAATATAATACGGTATTATACAAGGATGCTCAGTCACTTGTCCTGGTAATATAATACGGTATTATACAAGGATGCTCAGTCACTTGTCCTGGTAATATAATACGGTATTATACAAGGATGCTCAGTCACTTGTCCTGGTAATATAATACGGTATTATACAAGGATGCTCAGTCACTTGTCCTGGTAATATAATACGGTATTATACAAGGATGCTCAGTCACTTGTCCTGGTAATATAATACGGTATTATACAAGGATGCTCAGTCACTTGTCCTGGTAATATAATACGGTATTATACAAGGATGCTCAGTCACTTGTCTTGGTAATATAATACGGTATTATACAAGGATGCTCAGTCACTTGTCCTGGTAATATAATACGGTATTATACAAGGATGCTCAGTCACTTGTCTTGGTAATATAATACGGTATTATACAAGGATGCTCAGTCACTTGTCCTGGTAATATAATACGGTATTATACAAGGATGCTCAGTCACTTGTCCTGGTAATATAATACGGTATTATACAAGGATGCTCAGTCACTTGTCCTGGTAATATAATACGGTATTATACAAGGATGCTCAGTCACTTGTCCTGGTAATATAATACGGTATTATACAAGGATGCTCAGTCACTTGTCCTGGTAATATAATACGGTATTATACAAGGATGCTCAGTCACTTGTCCTGGTAATATAATACGGTATTATACAAGGATGCTCAGTCACTTGTCCTGGTAATATAATACGGTATTATACAAGGATGCTCAGTCACTTGTCCTGGTAATATAATACGGTATTATACAAGGATGCTCAGTCACTTGTCCTGGTAATATAATACGGTATTATACAAGGATGCTCAGTCACTTGTCTTGGTAATATAATACGGTATTATACAAGGATGCTCAGTCACTTGTCCTGGTAATATAATACGGTATTATACAAGGATGCTCAGTCACTTGTCCTGGTAATATAATACGGTATTATACAAGGATGCTCATTCACTTGTCTTGGTAATATAATACGGTATTATACAAGAATTTTGCAAAGAGTCTACAAGTTCCTCAAAAAATTAAACACAAAATTACCTTATGTCCAGCAATCCTACTGCTGGGTATTCACAAAAGAGAACTAAAACTTGTCCACACAAAACTGTATTCAAAAACTTATAGAAGCATTATTCATATTACCCTCAAAGTGAAAATAACTTAATAACCATGAGATGAGATAAGCAAAATGTCGTTTATTCATTTAATTAAATATTAACCATTCTTAAAATAAAAAGTTCTGATAACATGCTATAACACGGATTAAACTAAGCACATACTCAGTGAAAAAAGTCAGACAGAAAAGGTTATATGCAGAATGGTTCCATTAAAAAAGATTTTTTTAAATTATGTGGATGTGTGTCTGAATGTATAGTTAGTTTTCTGCCAACTTGACACACAAGCTAGGGTCATTTGGAAAGAGGGAATCTTAATTTAGAAAATATCTTCACCATGAGATTGGCCTTCAGGCAATCTGTGGGATTTTTTTAAATTAATAATTGGTGTTAGTGGGCCCGGCCCACTGTGGGTGGTGCCACCCCTCGGCATCCTTGTCCTGAGTTATATAAAAAAGCAAACTGAGCAAGCCATGTGGAACACGTCGTGAAGCTGTGCTCCTCCATGGCTTCTGCTTTAGTTCTTACTTCCAGGTTCCTACCTGGAGTTCATGCCTTGACTTTCTTTCATGATGCACTGTGATCAGAACACGTAGGCCAAAAAAAAAACTCAAGCAGCCTTTCATCATGCTGTTTTATCACAGCAATAGCAAGTAAACCAAGACAGTGAGGGTGTGTATGTGTGCATGTGTGAATGCCAGAAACCATGGAGTCCAGAAGAGGGCATCAGATCTCCTGGAACTAGAGTCACAGCCATTTGTGAGCTGTCTGTTACAAATGCTGGGAACTGAACTTGGTCCTCTGCAAGAGATGCAAGTCTTACTGCTGAGCCATCTCTCTGGCTCCAGTGTTTCCAATTATATGAAACATCTAGAATTGGCAAGTTCCTAAGACAGAAGGTACATTTATAGTGGTCAAAGGCTAGATTAGAGAGACATATAAGTGGGCATGGCTCTCACTTCCCAGTAATGAAAATGAGGAGTCAGGCACATGACCTATGCACAACTCTGGGAATATTCTGATCCACTAAATTATACTTTTAAAGAATACAAGTTGTATTTTTAGCAAGTGTTCAAAATGTAACTTTTTCCCACCAGTTTCTACTATTTGTAGAGCAAGACAAACTTTTCTTTATTTGATACAGTCTCTCTGTAGCCTTGGTTAGCCTTGAACCACAGAAACCTATCTACTTCTGCCTCCCGAGTGCTGGGATTAAAGGTGTGCACCACCATACCCACCTATGACAAACTTGTTTTTAAGCTCCATGACTGCACTGAAGTTTTAGCTCGTTAAATCTTAACCCATGTCAAAAGTATCTTCAATTCAGATTCCTACTCAAGTTTTATCAACCAGTATTATAGCCTTCTAACACTGTAACAAACACCTTGAAATGCTACAACATTAAAAAAATTACTAATATTTCAAAAACTTTAAAGATTTATTTTTATTTTTGGATGTGTGCAGATACGCATGGAGACCACAATAAGGTACTGAATCCTCTGAAGCTAGAGTGAGAGGAAGTTATGAGCCACCTAACACGGATGCTGAGAACCAAACTCAGGTCCTTTGAAAGAGCAGGGCTCACTTTGAATTGCTGAACCACCTCTCCAGCCCCGGTAGCACTCACTTTTTGGCACTTTGTAAATAGTCTTATGTATACTTAAGCTTTCTGAGAGAAAATGCTCATATTATCATTTATCTTTGTATAACACTTTCATGATTTTCAAAGTATTTTCACATACACAACCTACTTAATTCAGATAACACAATTTATAAAAGATATCTACCTCTATATAATTGTGAGTTATTGAGACAGGGTCTCACTTTTTAGTTTGGCTGACCTGGAACTCATTCAGCCCAGGCCAGCCTCAAAATTGTGATAATCCTGCCTCAGCATCCTGAGTGCTGAGATTACAGGTGTGTCACAGAAGAGGAAATTAAACAGCTGTTTCAAGTCATACGGCTGAGGTGTCTGGACTCTACAGGTGGTATTTCGACCACTGTATTAAGTACTGTAATGTTCTCTAAGTACTGACCATGTCTTCTTTGTCTTTTTCTGGTCTTTACCTGCATCTTTCTTTTGTTATTACGGTGCCCCCCAGAACACTGACACTTCTTTATCTGTAGATATAACAGGAACTCAGTAAGCACTTGACACTAACAATCAACATAGTCCAGCAGGAATGAACTTTTAGAACTGGTGCCATTTTTTTACAACTGGTATAACTTAGATACCCAATCAGAGAGCCTGGGTGCGGCACAGATTCAGCTCTGGAAAAGCAGCAGCTCTGAGGGGTTTCACCATACAGTTGCCATATCCTCAGCAACTGCTCAGATTAAGGCACTTACTACAAAATATGATTTCTCCTTACCAAAATGACTTGTGCAAAGTTTAAACCTTTCGTCTGCAATGAGATTATATTAAGGGGGATTATTTTTATGTACAATAAACCAGTAAAAATCACTGTATTTTTAAAATTCCATCTCCAGCACTGCTAATTCTCTTAATTATTCAAGAAAAGGGGAGAAAATAGATACCTTTAGAGATATCAAGCAATTGAATGTAGTTAGAAATATAATTATGCAAATTAGGCCATTAGAGAATTTTCTATCTTGGCAACATGATTTCCAGGAATGTAGTCTGGGGCTGGTGAGATGGCTCTTTGGGAAGGGGTGTTTGCCACCAAGATTGATGGCCCAAGTCTGATCCCTGGGATCCACATGGTAGGAGAAAACGGACTCCTACACACTGCCCTCTAACCTTCCGGCACTGGGCACACACCTACCTACACACAAATAAATACATGTAATTAAATTAGTTTTTTGAGACAAGGTCTCTGTATATAATCCTAGCTAGATTAGAAATACGATATTAGCACAGGCTGGCTTTGAACTCAGAAATCTGATTGTACCTGCCTCCTAAGTGCTAGGATTAAAAGTGTGTGCCACCAAGCATGTGCTTTAAAAACATTTTTTTTTTAAAAAAAAACATAGCTATTTATTTTTGGCTACAGATAAAATATTTGGATGGTGGCACATATCTGTAATCCCAGTACAGAAGCTGAAACAGCAGGATCCTGAGTTTAAGGATAGTTTAGGCTACATAAGGAAACGGTCTCAAACAGAACAAAGCAAAACAATCAAATAAAAACAGTAACAAACTTCTCCTACTCAAGTTGATTGGCATTCTACTTTGCATAGTGCTCTGTTGAGAATATCAAGTCACCAGCTCTAGGAGACTCACATCCTCTTTATAACAAGGCAGGTAATGGCATCACTCCCCTTTTTACACACATAGAAACTCTTCATAACAGAGCAGGTAATGGCATCACTCCCCTTTTACATACATAGGAACTCTTCAGAACAAGGCAGGTAATAGCATCACTCCCCTTTTTCATACATAGGAACTCATCATAACAAGGCAGGTAATAATATCACTCCCCTTTTTTGTACATAGGAACTTGAAACACCGAGAGATTTAAAAGCTCACCCAAATTCTAAGGACTACTAAGTCAGAAAACCAGACTTTGGATGCAGGTAAGTTTGATCACTGTGTTGGCTTATATTGTTAATGTGAGTGTACTGATATTTCACTGGATAGACTACATTATAGTTTACACCCCCACATCTCCACTGTTATTTTCCCCCCAAAGAAACTGTAGGCAGACTCTTAATACACAAAACCCGATCAGTCAAGGCCCAAAGTGCTATCTAGTCCAAATCTCCAATTTAAAGGACAGTTTGAATTCCTTTAACAGATTTTTTTGAGTGTGTGTGTGTATAGACATGTGTGGTGAGTATAGGCATGTTTACATGTCTGTGTGCACACCTGTGTAGAGATGTGCATGCATGAGTGTGCGTGTGTAGAGAGGCCAGAAGTTGATGCTCGGTGTCTTCCTTGATCATCACTCTTCACCTCATAGATTGAGGCAGAGTCTCTCCCTCAATCCCAGAGATAACCAACGTGGCTAGTCAGCCCGCTTGTTCTGGGGACTCTGCTTCTGTCTCTCAAGGGCTTGGGACTATGGACAAGCTTCTATGCATGCCTGCCGTTTATATGGGAGCTGAGGATCCAAACTCTGGTCCTTATGCTTACGCAGCAAGTACTTTATCCACTGAGCCAACTCTCTAGCCCATTTAATAAAATTTCAAGAACTGTAATAATAATGATAACAACAGATATGATAATTTAGGCATTTTGAGTGTGTCAGGCATGAGGGTGATTTTTTTTTTCCTATCACAGCTTTGATAATTGAGTTCTAACCACTTTATAGGTCACTGTTTCAGTTTGGAAAAATTACCTAGCCACAAAATCCAAAGCTTGGACATGGGTGAATTTATTCCGGTGCTTAACCACTGACTTACACTGAACTACATGACTGACTCAGGGTAAATGGGCTTTTGTCAGATTCTGACCACCTTCAGTGAGTAGTCTGTCCACAAAGGTACAGGTAAAGTAAAGGTAAAGTAAAGGTAAAGGTAAAGGCAAGTGGTGATGAACGTACAAACACATTTGGTGAGGCAGACAGACCGCCACGTGGTTACTTTTTCCTCCTATTATCTGGATAACTATTTATACATTTATAAGTAAATTATTTCTATTTTTGGGTTTTGCTTATTTACATGTTACAGACTGAATTACTCATTTTTTCTGTTCTAATTTTTCTTTCTTTTACAATGAGTGGGCAATAACAGAGTGTCAACTTGTGTTTACACTTTTCTGTATCTAAAGTTCTTCATGCTGAAACTCCTTTACCTTCTCCTAATCCCTAAAGGACCACTAGTCACCTTAAAGGATATCAGGAGAGGTAAAGGCATGGTCCAAACAAGAAATAAAAAGTCTCTTTACAGCATGCCCTACACCATGAAGCCTTTACCACACTTACATTTAATGTAGATGTGTCTGAGGTTTTGGGTAGTCACAATACTTCAAAATATAATGCAGCCACCCTGTTAAGACATGAATCAGGATTTTAAGTTTTTCTAGCTTTCTTAAGCTTCTCTTTGTTCTATTATTTACCGCTCTTTATTTTATACCCCAAACTGATATTGTTACTGTGGGGACTGTGTGTAAAGTATCTGGCAAACTGAAATCTTGCCCCCTAACCATCCTTTATAGTTCTGGCTCTCTGCTTAATAACAGGGGCAATTAAAAGTTCTGACTTAAACAGAGAGCTGGAAAGTTATGACAACAGTTGCAGTAGAAAATAAAGAGTAACTGAATATATTACTATTTATATAATTCTCTCATTCTTTAGATATTTTACCAACCCAGAAACTTAAATTTAACCTAAATCAATACTTATCATTACTTTTTTTTTCTTACACCTCACTTTCTAGTGAAGTTTTAGAAGCAATACCCTATGTAAGTCACACAGGCACCTTAAAAACAAATAAATTATAGAATACACTCAAGCAATCCACTTTAAAAAAACCCCAACTTTCATTTATTGAAGACTCATACAAAGTAAGTTAAGTTCTCAGAAACACATTTTCACAGGGAATTTTATCAAATGTAGTCATCTTTTTTGTAGCTCCCTCCCACATAGTGTCCAACAATGAATGCTGGGAAGGGGAGGTCCCATCTTGGGTCTGGGCCGTGGAAGAAGCCAGTCATGTGACTCAGATAAGGAGTGATAGCCTGCTCCACACTGTGCATGTTAAGTACCTAGATGCTGAGTTTGCTGGGTGAATACTCTTGTAGACAAGTTTTCTCAAAGTGCATTCTCTGGCCTCTTCCTATTACCATGATTCCTTTTCCTTTACTCTTTGACAATTTCTTTTATCATCATTATTATATTTTTCATTATTTAAAACAATTTTCAAATTCAAATATATTTTGATCATACTGAAACATACTTCGTGTTAGAATGAAAAAACATAGACAAGCTGTCAAAAGGCCTATGTGTATGGCATATGCTTTCCTATTTTTAAAAAAGACCTACTTTTATTATTTTTAATTATGTATGTGTATATATGTGTCTGTGAGTGAGTATATGTACATGAGTGTAGTTGCCTACCAAGGCCAGAGGCATAGAATTCCCCTGAAGCTGGAATTTCAGGCAGCTATGAGCTGCCCACTGTGGGTGCTGGAAACTGAACTTGGGTCTTCTTGAAGGGTAGCAGGTGCTTTTAACGGCTGAGTCATCTCTCTAGCTATTTTCCATTTTTGTAAGAAAAATGGATGAGGGCTGGAGAGATGGCTCAGTGGTTAAGAGTACTGGCTGCTCTGCCAGAGGTCCTGAGTTCAATTCCCAGCAACCACATGGTGGCTCACAACCATCTGTAATGAGATCTGGCACCCTCTCCTGGCCTGCAGGAATACATGCAGACAGGAAATTGTATACATAATAAACAAACAAACAAGCAAATAAATAAATAAATCTTAAAAAAAAGAAAAAGAAAAATGGATGAATACACCCATTAATCATCAATTTATAATGCTCATGAGAAAACTTTTGTTTCAAAATCAGCATAATGGTAGAAATGGAAAATTTGAAGTAGCTACCTTATTATTCATGTATACTACAATAGTAACCCTCCTTATTGAGAGGAAAAAATTCATTTAAATGAAATTTAAGGCTTTTTATCATCCTTTTAACAACAGTTTGTTAAATCTTCAAAAGGGTGGTTTTTGTTCCTTTAAAAATTCTACTTAAGAATCATTAGAAATTCTACCAAGTTTATCTCACCATGTCAACCTACTTGTAAACAAGAAAGCTATATCTCTAGTTATTGAAATAAAATAATCTGAAATGTCAGAAAGTCAAATTGACACTTTTTTTTGACACTTTCTGTTTATTATCTGCAAGCCTAACCCCAGGCCAGGAGATGCCACATTCTGGGCACTCAAATATTAACAGTTATGCTAAGTACAATCTGAAAGACAGTTGGAATGAGCTCAACTGCTAGCCTTCCCAAACTCAAGGCTAAATACATTATAAGAAATAAATTAGCAAGGAAATTCTTACTACTACCTGTATATTCTGGCTCATAAAATTCTTTATCAGATCTACAGTATTTTGAATACTTTTCAGAAAAAGAATGGGGAAAAACCACTAAAAATGTATGGCTACATCTTGAATTGTATCTGCACAGAATTTTAATTAATAGGCAGGCAAGGCTGGATATGTACTCAGTGGTAAGAGTCTCTGCCTAGCACATAAAAGGCTCTACAGACTGAATTACATCCTCAGCATAGGACAAAAGACTGGGATGGATATGAGGGAGACGCACTGTCCAACATTTCCTTATTAAATTCTAGATCCTAATAAACAACTAGAAAATACCATGCAACAATTGGATAAAGGAAGCAAATACAATGTATATTCTATCACAACATTTTATATTTAAAAGAACCTACATAATATCAAGCATATATGAATGTTTTGTTATCTGATAATCTACAAGGTCAAATTTCTAAATTTACTAAACACTAAATACTGTATGGTAACTTTTTACAGTCAATAAAGAATAATGAAAGATAGGTAAGAATTCTCATAAGAATAATGTTTTGCTGGGCAGTGGTGGCTCACACCTTTAATCCCAGCACTCGAGAGGCAGAGGCAGGCAGATCTCTGTGAGTTCAAGGCCAGTCTGGTCTACAAGTGAGTTCTAGGACAGCCAGAGTTATAACATAGAGAAACCCTGTCTCAAAAAACCAACCAACCAAACAACAACAACAAAAGAATGTTGTTCTAACAAGATTAAAAAAAAACACAGAAGTTACTAAGCTAATTAGCTATTCATTTGGAATAAAGATAAAATTTATCTTTTTTTACAAGAGTATCAAAACTCTTCAATTCAACAGTATGTTTACCTACCTTCATCTGATTTCCAACTTTTTTTCCTCTTTGTTTTTTATATGTATGAATATTTTGCCTGTGCACCACTTGTGTGCCAGAAGAGGGTTCCAGATCATCTGGAACTGGAGTTACGGATGATTGTGAGCCATCATGTTATGGAAACAGAACTCAGGTTCTCCAGAAGAGCTACAAGTGCTCTTAACTGCTAAGCCATCTCTCCAGCCCATGACTTTCCAACTCTTAATGTGTTTAATAGGAATGGCATGTAATTATGAGTATTAGAAATAGCTTACCATATACTCCTTTGTCTAAAAGTAGTAAAAATTCATCCACAGCATTGCACATTTCAGATTCGGTAAGATCCAACAATGAAACAACTTTGAAATCTAGTTGCCTTAATAAGTTGGTCAATTCATACACATCCACCAAAGGAGCTTTAAGCTTGGGGTGCTCCCAATAATTCATATTTCCTATCAAAAGAGCAACTTTGTCCTTTGCTGTAAGAAAAAAAGGGGGGGTTGGGAATTAGAGGAGGGTATAAAGATTAAAATTTATAGAAGTATTAAAATGAAAAACTTTAAGACTACAGAGTTTCAAGTAAGATGACATTAAATTTCATTTTAGAGGTGTTACTTTACAGAGGAGACTAAGAACACAACAGGCTGAAACATCAAGTCAGACAAAGGATATTTATTAGTTACATATGAAATATAGGCCAGAGTTTGCTCTCATCAAGGTTCTGTTTTACTGAGAATGGAGGAAGTGAAACAAACACACACCTCCAGAGGAGAGGAAGAATTCACAGAGCGAGGAAAGGCCAAAGAGAGAAAAGGAGGAACTCACAAGGACCACATTTGTTTCTATAGTAGTTGTGTGGGGGCTGTCTCCTCCTACCTCTAAATTCAAAAGTTTTTATCACCACCACCATCATCATCATCATAATGGTATATGTGCATGTGGACACACAGGCACAATGGGGTGTGTGTGTGTGTGTGTGTGTGTAGTTCAGAGGGCAACTTTCATTTCCTTCTTAACTTTTTAAAGACATATTTCCTGTTTGCCTGGGATAAGGCTACTTGAGGAATGTTTTTGAGTTTATTTTTTTGACTTTGCTCAGACAGAAAGAGGTGTTCTGGGGTGCGGGCAGGCGAACAATATGTACTTATGCCTTAAAAAGTATCAGCTAGCCTATTTGGGGCATGGCCTGGCCTGAACAGTTATGAAGGCTATGCCAAGCTTAGTACTTAAGAGACTTCAACACTGCATCTTTCTTGACGGTCTTGGGGGTAGTACGGTGGCAGCAAAGTTTCAAGAGACCTGTGCACTGCCAGCTGTATAAAATTAGAGGTGAGAATTACATAAAACACACAATACTTGACAGTAATCACTATAAACCACACTACTTCTTTATATAGTTATTATATAATGCTTTTCATTGTTAAATTTTATTTTAAAAATTCCAAGTTTCATCACTATGTAGAGTATGACTTCTACATATGAAAAAAAAAAAGGTTACTTCTGAACAGCATATTGTGGTCTGTCAGCAGCAGCCTCATATACCTCAGTATTTACTACATTTCCTGAATGCATTAGGACAATAACTGAGAAACTGACCTATAGGGTCTAATGATGCATTTCTCAAGATATACCTCTGTTATATAGATATACTCATTCAGTGATATGTATGTAACTATATTTGGGAAAGAATGATTTATAGAATACAAGAGTCCAAGAATGTGAGAATGTGAAAATATCAATAATTGCCCAAAACTCTTATAAAATTTTTTTGTCAATGATAATCTTGAAAAAGCTAGATTATATAACTTTTAAAATTTTTCTGGTAAGGAAGATGGTGGGTCTTACCTTGACCAATCTACTTGTGAAGCAGTTCCTGGTTGGCAGGAGAGCTCGAGTGGACTTAGAATAGAGAAGTAGAGACGGGCTGAGACAAGATGACAAGGACCCATTCAAGGAAATGGTTGTGGCAAAGAGACCAGACAGAGAAAGGAACAGTACTGAATTTGAGGAAATGAGAGGAATAAAGAAAACTTAAAAATGGCAAGGGCACAAGCAAGTCATCATGAGTTTTAGATAATAAATTCAAGAAATTTATTATAAAAAATGTACTGTAAGAGCCACCCACAAGTTCTTGAACACAAGCTATCTACACATGGAGCTGGGAGCACAGCTCAGTGGTTGAGTGCACGCTTAGCATGTGAGGCTCTGGGTTCAATCCCCAGCACCAAGAAAAAGAAAACAAAGAAATAAAAATGTTATTTGATTATACAAAAGAATAACAAAACCACTTTGGAAATATACTTACTAGAGGATCCTAGACATTTTCCAGAACTTAAAGTAGTAGACATTCTTCAAAAACTGGCACAGTGCTACATCATCAATTCCATGTCTAATAATTCTAAGTTATCCAAAATGAGTTCATATTCCTAAGCACCTAGAAAAGGGTCTGGTTCATTCTAAGTGCTATTAAGCATTTGTTAAGTCTTTGAATATTTATAAAAAATACAGAATTAGCATCAAATCTGACTAGTTCAAATGAATTTGACTTCCTGTTACTCTGATGCATCCAATCTTTTAACGACTTTGTATCTCACAAAATAATGTCTGAAATCCTCAGTTTGGCATACAGAGCCATTCACATTCTTGTCACTGTCATAGATAGCCCATGAGGAATCTTGGTATCTTTGCCCTGTGAGGTACAGTCAGCCTCACCTCACATGTGCTGCCCGCCCTCTGACTTTCTCCAAGCAGTACATAACATGTGGTGGCACTGCCAGTTCTGGGCTGTGGACTGAAGAAGTCCCGACAGCCTTCACTTTTGAGATACAAGCACAACATTAAAAAAGCAGCAGCTTCTCAGGCCGGGAAAGAGGCAGGACAGAGGGGAAGAGTCTCTTCTCAGTCCTCACTACATGCCACGGTATGAAAGTGAAGCCTTCTTATATGTGTAGCCTTGGTCACCAACAGACTATAACTACATAAGAGACTCCAAGAAGGATGATCTGTAAAACCCACAGAACCAGGAGATAAAATATTGATAGATTTTTTTGAGACAGGGTTTTTCCCCTTTAGTCCTGGCTGTTCTAGAACTCATTATGCAGACCAGGTTGTCCTCAAACTCACAGAGATCCTCCTGCCTCTGTCTCTCAAGTGCTGGGGTTAAAGGTGTGCACTACCATGCCTGGCTGTTTTTTTTTTTTTTTTAATCTAGTGAATTCTGGAATACTATTACTACTTATTAGATAACTGTATCAGCAGCCTAATGATTGGTAGTCTAAGACTCCACCCTCCAGTAGTACTGACCTATTTGTTCCCCTCCCACACTGCCTACTTCACAGTTCCACATTCACCAAGTCTTTTCCCTTCTTCTTTAGAGAACATTCTAGCTTTATCTACAAGAGAACTCCTAATTTATCCTTGAAAATTCTCACTTGAACTTTCCTCATAAAGAAAGTCTTCCTTGACTCCCCTAGACAAACCTAATCACCATATTCTAAGAATAATTTAAGATTATTTATCCATTTCTACTATGGTATATGCCACATACTATTATAAAGTTCATTTTCTTACTTTATAAACGGTCACAGACATGAGATATTTGATGTTTGGTAAACCTCACAATAAGAGTTAACCCGATACTCAGTTTATTTTGTTCTTAGAATTCCACTGTCTGTGAAATGGCACATGCTACAACAGACCCAACAGGGGGCTACAGAATTGCTGACTCCCAGGTATCAACCACCAATCAGATACCAAGTACATAACTCTGAGCAAATTTTAGAGTTAAGTAGTTGTTGTTTTTTCTGAGAAAGGGTCTCACTATGTAGCTCTGGCTGTCTTAGAACTCACCTTGAACTCACAGAGATCAGCTGCCTCTGCCTCCCAAGTGTTGGGATTAAAGGCATGTACCTCCACAACTGGCTAAGCTTTCACCCACAAAAAATGAGGACAGAGTCTACATTTCAGGAGTAAATTATACATTCATAAAGCAAAATAAGTAATCACTGCTGAACTTTCATTATCTGCTTGTCATTGTGTTCATAATTACCACACGTGCTTCTCACTACAGAATAGAGTAGCTATGGCTTTGTTCAGATCACTATTAGTTGGTCTTTCTTACCAAGTGAGGGTTGGGAAAGAACAGAACTGAACTACGTGAAATTTTACCATTATGAATGAAATGTAGCAGTTTTTTTTAAAAAGACAGTCTTCTTCAACATCAAGGGCCTTCACATTTACTGTTGCCCAATCCTGTGATCATCCTTGTACTTTGCTATCACCTGAGCTGCTGCATTCTCAAATCTAAAGTAATGTACTTTATTCTTGTGGTGGTTTCAAAGAAAATGGCCCCCAAAGGAAGTGGCACTATTAGGTATGGTCTTGTTGGAGGAAATGTGTCATTGTGGAGGAAGGCCTTGCGGTGTCATACAGGCTCAAGCCAACCCAGTGTCTCATTATACTTCCTATTGCCTTCTGATCAAGATGTTGCCAGAACCATGTCTGCCTGCACGCTGCCAATGCTCCCCACAATGTTGATAATGGACTAAACCTCTGAAACTGTAAGCTGTCATCTCAATGAAATGTTTTCCTTTATAAGAGTTGCCATGGTTATGGTGTCTCTCCACAGCAACAGAAATCCTACCTAAGACACCCTATCCTTTACCATGTTTGTTCCTGCTGCACTTTTCCCTCCAACTCAGTGAATCCAATGTCCTGACTCCTATGTTTTCTGTTTATGAACCTTTCAAGTGGCTTTCTTTCCTTGCAGTTTTATCTCTTGGTTAATTCCTCCAAATCCCAGCTTTTGGATGTGCGCTGTGAAAACCTCATTACTGCAGTGCTTGGCACACAGAAATGGACAGATGGACCAGTTCACCAGCCTGTCTTCACTTTAAAGCTGAATTCTACTACAGAAGAACCACACAACTGATCTGTAATTTTAATTTTTGTCCTTTTGGTTGTAAGTCTTAGCCTTTAATGGCTAAGCCATCTTTTCAGCCCATATTCCTAATTTTAAGTCTTAGTTTAACTCTCCCAATAGTTTTCTACTTCTGGATGAGATGGTAGCTTTTGTTTGAGTTACAGAATCTTGGTCTCTATTCAGGTTCTACAGTTAGCCTTATTCTATTTTCTTCTTCAATCCTTTCAAGCAGAATTACCTAGACAAGGAAATTGGTCAACTGAAAAAATTTCATGGCTTAACAAATCTTTCTTTCTCACCACCATCCCCTACCTCCAACAAGGTTTCTCTGTGTAGCTATGGCTGTCCTGAAACTCCTTTTAGGTCAGGCTGGCCTCAAACTCACTGAATTCCCCCTGCCTCTGTGTCCCTGAGTCCTGGGATAAAAGGAGTACACCGCCAAGGCCTGACTAACAAATCTTTCTTTATTTTCATGAGTATCCTCCTTTCTAGTCTGAAAAATTAACAAAACGTTTTAGGCTGGCACTGAATTTTTAATCCCATAATTTGGGAGGCGGAGGCAGGAAGATCCAGGAATTTGAAGTCATCCTTGGATAGTGAGTTCAGGCTAGTCTGGGCTATGTTAAGATACTGTCTCAAAAAACAAAAACAAAAAAAAGAAAAAAAAAAGGGGGGGGGGTCAAAATTCTGATAAAATTCAAGTAGACATTATTTTAACCTGACTGCCATAGATCAGTGTTGCCACTTCTACTCTCTTAATGTTAGTCTACTGAGCCTTTCTGAACAGCTCTCCTGGAGACTCTCCCTTGTGTCTTCTTCTCCAAAGCACACTTCAATGGCCCCATTTAATCTTATCTTACATCCTTCTCTTCCAATCGTAGAAGGTGGGAAACAGACTCAAGACTCACTACCATCCACATGGGATTTTCCTACTTTCTACCTCACCAGAGGACAGCAATAACTACTTCTTCCTCTATGGAGCATGCGTGTTCCTTTTTGTTTACATGTTGTTTACGTGAAACCGAAAACAAAATCTGTATCTTTTTGAAGGTGGTTCTTCCATAATTTCTTTTACCCAAAATAAAAATCTGCTCCAATGTCCTTCAATCAATCAAATTAAATACTGTAAATTCCTTCGTGATAATCAAAAAATTAAACTGTAATTAAACTCCATCATGTACTTTAAACTCAACTCACCCAAAGGCTGGCCAGTTGTTTGTTCTTTATTATCTGCACAAAGATAAGAGAGCAAACAGATGCCGTTATTCGTGGCATATCCTCAGAGCTCATGAGAGAAGAAAAGCAATGAATGCTGACAGCAAGATATCATTAAAATGCTATATATAGTAGCACAGAGGTCAGAGAGGCTAGAAAAAGGAGGAGAGACAGTCAGAGGGTGAACAACAGGGCACAAAAAACAGGAGAAGGGATTTAATGTTATATGGCATAATAGTGCAGCTATGTCTCTAACCTCTAACAGTTACGAATTTAAGAATAATTACAGGAGAAGCTCTTGAAGGCTCCCAACACACAGACTAGTAATATCTAAGCAGATAGAAATGCTAATTACTGGACTGGATTATTATACTATATATGTATGTATCAGTACGTAATATGGTACTTCATATATAAATATAAATAATAATTTAGAAGGAAAAATACAGAATATGGTTACTAATAGTGAATTTATCATTAAAAGATTTTTGACAAAAAAATATGGGCTTATCATTATCATACATAGAATGAAATCACGTTCACTCTCCAGTACCACCAGGAAGCGACACAGGGAAAGACGAAGTTCAATCCTTCATGAGCCCAGTACTTTTGGGGGAGGGTAGTTTACCTGCACATTTAATATTACAGATGCTATGGGAGTCTACTACAAACTTTACTACACATTCATTTTTTTAAAACTCAAGGTTTGGTTTCTTTGAATCTTGGAGAATAAAGAAAATCAGGCCCGGAAATGTTAAAAACTTATTGATGGGTATATGCTACAGTTTTTAGGAAGTAATTTTTACATTAAAAAAAATTCATTTATTTTTTTTATGTGTATTGGTGTTTTGCCTGTGTGTGAATGCCTGTGTAAGGGTGTCAGGAACTGTAGTTATAGACAGTTGTGAGCCACAATGTGGGTGCTGGGAATTAAACCCAGTTCCTCTGGAAGAGCAGCCAGTGCTCTTAACCTCTGAGCCATCTCTCCAGCCCCAATTTTACATCTTTTTAAAAGGGCAAGACACAGCAGACAAATTTAAGGAAAGAGATTCTATCAACACCAAGAGAAATGATTACTAGGATGTTTTCAAACAGTCTTTAGTCTGGGACAATTGAAGCAATTCTTTCTGAGCTTCACGTGAATTTGAAGATACTACAGCAAAAATTATCTGTTGCTCACAGTGGCTCTGTCTTGTCTAATGTGCTTATATACAGTCAGCAGAATCCAGACAGAACTTATAGGAACAGATGCCTCTGAATGAAACACAAAACTAAGCAAACTGGTACTGGAGGAGTAGCTCAGTGAAGAATGTACAGCCAGCACGCACCAGGCCCCTGAGCACAATCCCCAGCACCATGAAACAAACAAAATTAAGCAAACTAATTATGGTAGTAAAATAATGAGACCAATAGGCTTTCTGCAAATATTAAATAACGGCATGCCTTCTTAATACATTTCTGTGTGATTTGATTAAATCTATTCATGGTTCCATCCTTGTCTTTCAGAATGCCCACAGCTTATATTGACATCCTCTTTCTTTACATGATCCTCATTACTGAAATGTCCTTGTCCCGGGTGATGGCTTTCTCTTTAGCTTAGCATGTTTAGAAATCTGTTCTGATCAAAACTTGTCTAGAGACTGTTACTGTTAGTCTCTTACAGTTACAGACCAATTTATCCATCTACTGCAAACTCTTTCCACTAACTGCCTTCCATCAGGTTGAGCACCTGCTCAACCACTCCAGGGATGTTCTATGTCTGACAGTTTGGAAATGTAATGTGTCACTTCGTCAATATGCATCTAGTCTTCCACATTAAAAACAACGTACTTCTTTCTATAAGGAGGACATAAAATGACTTTTTATAAAAGCATCAGTGCTAGGTGGTGCAGCTAAGCACTTGGCTGAGCATGTACAAGACCCTGGGTTTGATCCCCATTAACACACCACTACCACCACCACCACAACAAATTGTTAATATTTTTTTTATATTTATTTATTTATTTTGTGTAGGGGGCTACGGTGCACATAGAGATCAGAGGAAAACATGAAAGAATTGGTTCTCTTCTCCCACCACGTGGGCTCTAAGGGTCAAACACAGGTAATCAGGTATGGCAATAGGTAATTTTCCTCATTCAGCTATATTGCTGGTTCAGGCATTGATATTTTATTGTTATCCAAAATACTTTTCGGTCTTTGTGGTCTTACAATCAATACTATTTTTGTATTTACTTGCTTTAAATTGACCTTCATGTAAGCAGTAGTCTAAGAATGTAGGCAAGAATGTCTATAGCACCTTTACTATATCAAACTTAACAATCTAAAATAGAACTTTGTTTACAATACTTACCAGGATGCCCAAAATTATTTAATTCATCTACAAATAAAGTAAGAGAAAACAGATTAATTTTGAATAACCTAACTTCCAACAGCACAAACAGTATAACTAAGAGAAGCAGTTTATGAACTGTTATGTTATTTGTTTAGAACTTTTCACAGTTAATGAAGAAGTCATATAAATAGGGAACAGGTAAGAATACTGTTGTTGTATTACTCAGGACTGTTTAACTTTCACTAAGTTACAAAATCTAAATAAATAAACTCATTCATAATTTGTTCAAAGTTTTAGGTATTTCATAAATGATCTAAAAACAAAAACAAAAACCTTTAACTTTAAAATACCAGGAAACTTTGTAGAGAGCCGTGCACGGCCGCGCCTCAAAGATGGCGCCGGCGTCCGACTTCCGCCTTCCCGATGGCAGGTGCTCCTTATTTGGCTAAGGCTAGGATCTGGCTTGCTTCTGCACACCTGGACCTAATCTGGCTTGCTTGCGTATGTCTGACCCTATCGGCATTATCCACGTGGTACTATGGGGTTGATTGCCCAGTGGCTATAAAGGGCGTGGGCTGGCTTTCCCCAAGAGAAGGAGTGAGTGAGAGAGAGCGAGTGAGAGAGAGAGAGAGAGAGAGAGAGAGAGAGAGAGAGAGAGAGAGAGAGAGAGTGAGAGTGAGAAGATGGCTTTCCCCGGGGTCAGAAGATTGTCTCAAGGTTCCTGAATAAACTGCTTGGAGAAGAGCCTGGCGTCGCGTCTTCCTTGCTGGTCGAGGCGGACGCGACAAGTGGTGGCCCGTATGGGGAACCTTTAAGGCTCAGAATTCTTCGCAGTCAGGGCAGTGCACTGGTAAGTCCCCAGGTAAGGCGGGGATCCGCGACAAAAGCGGGAAACGTAGAGCCGTGACCAAAACGGACAGGAAAATTAAGTAGAGCCGTGACCAAAACGGAAAGGAAAATTAAGTAGAGCCGCGACCAAAGCGGACAGGAAAATTAAGTGGAGCTGCGACAAAAGCGGATGGGAAGTTTAAGTGGAGCTTCGACAAAAGCGGACGGGAAGATTAAAGAAAGTGAAAGCAGGTGAAAGCAAAGGTGCTGCTAGTATCATGGGCACAATTTCTTCGCACCCAATTTCCTGGCTCTTAACGAGCTGCTCCTTTCAAAGAAATTAGAGATTAAGAAGAGTAACCCGGAGGTTTGGAGAAAGGTTAGAACTGAAATGCAGCTAGCTTGCCCAGTGTTTCTCAATGCCCAGACTCAACAGAGATACCATGACCAGATAAATCAACTAGCAACAAGGGCATGGAAGTTCCTACCTAATAAAGGGGAAGTGAGCAGTAACCTTACTAAGATCCTTCAGGGACCTATGGAACCTTTTTCAGATTTTGTGGCCCGCATGGTCGAGGCTGCAGGCAGAATCTTTGGGGACCCAGATGCCGCGATGCCGCTTATAAAGCAGCTAGTTTATGAACAATGTACCAAAGAATGCAAGGCTGCGATCACCCCTTATAAGAACAAAGGTCTAGAAGTATGGATGAAAGTGTGCAGAGAATTAGGGGGACCTCTAACTAACGCAGGTCTTGCGGCTGCAGTTATACAACTTAGTAACAAGAAAGGAGGGAACACTGGGGCATGTTTTCGGTGTGGAAAAATGGGCCATCTCAAACGTAGCTGCCCTCAAGGAGAAGGTAACTTCTATAGTTTCATTAAAGAGTATAAATAAGTAGATGTTAATATGTTATATGTGAGTTTGTAAAAATGTGTAAATGTTGAGTGTGAGTTTAGGCCTAAGCACACGTTATATGTGAGTTTGTGAAAAGGTGTAAATGTTGACTGTGAATCTAAGCTTAATGTATGTGGTGAAAGAACCTGAGATACAGAAGGTTAGTGTCCTAGCAGACTGCAAAGCAGGCAGTCTGAGTGGTTTTCAAAAGCAGAAGCCGCTAAGCTAAGAATGGTGGACGCCAGAACCAGCACAACAAGGCATCCGCAGCTGAGATCTGTGGAAAATCAATGCAACACAGAAAAACCAGAGCTAACAGCAAAAACGGTGCGGTTTAAAATTACTGACTCTGCAGATGGGAGTACAATTAGTGGAGTATGATAAAGATGGGATGTCATCCTAGGTTTGGTTTGGGGAAGTTTCTCCAAGGCAGAAAAGATCCAGTTCAGGCGCAGAGTAGACCACCTAGGCAGGATTAGGTTTTTCATAGGGGCCACTGAGGAAGGAATTCCCATTTCCTGGAAAACAGAGGACCCGGTATGGGTACCTCAGTGGCCACTTTCCTCTGAAAAGTTATCAGCGGCAGAAGAGCTAGTAAAAGAACAGCTTGAGGCTGGACATATACGACCCTCTGTGTCCCCTTGGAATACACCTATATTTGTCATTAGAAAAAAAAAATCTGGAAAGTGGCGATTGTTACATGACCTTAGGGCTATTAATAATCTGATGCAGGTCATGGGTCCAGTGCAGCAAGGGCTGCCACTTCTATCGGCTCTGCCAGCCTCCTGGCATATTATTGCCATGGATATAAAGGATTGTTTCTTTTCCATTCCCTTAATTTGGATGCCTCGGGAAGTTCATCAGCAGATAGGCATCATAATCCACACAGCCCTATGAAGGGCATGGTGAAGTGGAAAGATATCCTCACGGGTAGCTGGCATGGCCCCGATCCCGTGCTGACATGGGCGGGAGGTTCTGTTTGTGTTTTCCCACAGGACCGGCTAGACCCTATCTGGGTACCTGAACGACTGGTGCAACGGCCCCTCAGACGGAGAGACGTGATGACACCCCGGAAGCTGATGTGCCTGATCCTGATAGCCCTGATTCTGACAAGCGTGCCAGCGGGAGCAGCTGAGGATCGACTACTCTGGGCTCTTATAAAAGCCTGGCCATACCCTTTACCCATAACATCACATTCTAGTGTATTGCTTTATTTTTGAGTTGACTTACTGCAGGAGCAGAACCCAGATCCTGCGCAATGAGATCATTGCGGTCAACTCCACCCGTGTGCACCTGGCCTATCACCTTTTTAAAGGAGTGGGCGGGATTAGGTGCCCTGGCAGGCCTACTGGTGCTTGTCTCCCTGATGTGCCTGTGGTGCATTGTTCATTTAAGGGTTTCTCAGCAGCGCAATGCAGCCATGATTATCCAAGCCTTTGCAGCCATAGAGGCTGGACAGTCTCCCCAGGCCTGGCTGGCCGCATTAAAAACTTGATCATGCAGGATGCAAGGCTAGTGCACTGCACTTGGGTCTAGCTGTATTGCAAAACCCAAGAAGAGCAAGTCTAATTGCATGTGGGTTGATGCCCTAATTCCCACCTCTGCAAAAAAGGGTATTGGCCGGGTCAAGTGTTCTCTGGGTGGATGACACCTGGACTAACAACAGTGCAATGTCCAAGTTGTTTTTTGGCAGAGATTAGACCTCTGCTCTTGCCTGCTGCTTAAAACAATAAAGGGGGAACTGTAGAGAGCCGTGCACGGCCGCGCCTCAAAGATGGCGCCGGCGTCCGACTTCCGCCTTCCCGATGGCAGGTGCTCCTTATTTGGCTAAGGCTAGGATCTGGCTTGCTTCCGCACACCTGGACCTAATCTGGCTTGCTTGCGTATGTCTGACCCTATCGGCATTATCCACGTGGCACTATGGGGTTGATTGCCCAGTGGCTATAAAGGGCGTGGGCTGGCTTTCCCCAAGAGAAGGAGCAAGTGAGAGAGAGAGTGAGAGAGTGAGAGAGTGAGAGAGTGAGAGAGAGAGAGAGAGAGAGAGAGAGAGAGAGAGAGAGAGAGAGAGAGAGAGAGAGAAGATGGCTTTCCCCAGGGTCAGAAGATTGTCTCAAGGTTCCTGAATAAACTGCTTGGAGAAGAGCCTGGCGTCGCGTCTTCCTTGCTGGTCGAGGCGGACGCGACAAAACTTGATGAACTATTGTGGGCTACTGTAGAGGAGAGTTCCTGTGTATGCCAAAACTAGTGTCCCTATTATTAACATCTTAGTACATTACACATATCACAAGTATGAACCATCTGTGTTGTCCCCCACGACCTATTTAAGATACCAGAAGCATTTACTGTGTCTCCTTAAGACACTCTTGGTTGTGACAGTTGCTCAGACATTCCTTGTTTTTAACGACCACTTCAGTTTTGAGCAGTCGAATGTTCTCCAGTTGGGATTTGTGTTTTTCTTATAGTTAGACCAACGTATGGTGTGCTTTTGGGGGAAGCAGAGCAGTTTCAGAATTAACTGTCATCCTCCATACACCTTTCACACAGGCTAGATAAATAACCTGAGTACAAGTTTATGACATAACAGTCATCATCAGTTTTTTTAACTTATTAAATTTTATGAAGACAAAAATGAACATGAAATAAGTTGCAAGTATACAGGATTCATAAAGTATTAAATGGGAATATATTCTTTGGTTTATTTGCTTGAGATGAGGTCTCAATATGTAGCTCAGGCTGTCCATAAATCCGAAACCTTCCCACCTTAGTCTTCCCTGTCCTGGAATTACGGTCATATCATTACGCTAAGGCTGGTATTTTCATACTACATAAAACCAGTTTAACAGTGTTATCAACTTGTGCACACAATATGTACAATTGCTGTCGTTCATCTTATAGCATAGATTATTTCTAGATAGGTAGGTCAGCACATCACTCTACCTCTTTTCAGTGAGGATGTTTCATGCAATTGTAATACAGTTGATGTTTCTGTCATATTCTGTATTCCATCTTTGATGCCTTCCTTTTGGCTTCCTAAAAGACTGTTTGAAATTTGCATGGTCTCACTAATCTAAACCACAGCTGAGCTTCGCCTTTTCAACCATACCCCTTGTCCTAATAATATTCTAACAAAATACACAAAATGGAATAGGAGACATCATGTTCTCTACATTAAAATAAGATGTAGTAGAGGATACTGTTCACAGTATGTATCAACCTATCAACTACAAAATATCTTAGTTTTGTAGGCTTTTTGAGAAAAAAGTTGGAACTGATGTTTTCCATCTGAAAATTTTAGAGCAACTGTACAATTACATTGTCATCTCTGTGTTCTAAATAGTTATTTGAAAATTATTATTTGATTGTTCTTATCATTGAAAAAACTGCATAGTGAACTGTACAATTATAGAAACAGCAGGACAGGGTAACAATCACATGCTCACTCGGAAGGCAAACAGCAGTGCTCTTTTATATTTATTCTTAAAGGTCTCCTACATGTTAGGTAGTTTAAAGAAACAAACATGCATGCAATTAGGCAAAAAAATGTAAGAAGTAAGAGAAGTTTGGTTAAGATTTCTCTACATGGCTTCCCTTCTGTATGATTAACAGATGTGGGATTGGAACTTCTTTATAGGAGAATTCTGATTCACAACTCTGTATTAGGATCAAAACAGTAATTAGTAGTTTACATGCTACCATAGAGATGAATGACAGGAAAACCAGGAAATATTACTATCTTACTTTACCCAAGAACCTAAGAAAGACTACGTAATGGTTCAAAGAAGCAGCAATTGAAAAAATACTCAGCTATCCACAACTTTAATTTTATAAACCAATGTGACAGTACACTAAGGGGAGGTAATCTAAGTTTTAATATTTACTTATTACAATTTAAATACAATGTTTTGGTTAATTGAAACAAGTTAAAAGTTTATACTAAAATGGATTTTCAGTTCTCTTTCCAGGATGAAAGTGGTACGCAAATTAAGCTGAAACATTACAGCTTTGAAAATCTTTATCAATATTATTTCCAGAATATTTAATATTTGGTAAAATTGTATCAAATGATATATCCATCCTGAAATTGTTATAGAAACTATGCTTGCTTCTGAAAGGCATCTTAAGAAATAAAATAATCCAAACAAATATTTATGAGAGTACTTAAAATAAATTTTATTTTATTTTTTTTTGGTTTTTCAAGACAGGGTTTCTCTGTGTAGCTTTGCGCCTTTCCTGGAACTCACTTGGTAGCCCAGGCTGGCCTCGAACCCACAGAGATCCGCCTGGCTCTGCCTCCCAAGTGCTGGGATTAAAGGCGTGCGCCACCACCGCCCGGCTAAGAGAGTACTTAAAATAAATTTTATTAAGATTAAAAATTTACATCAAGAATTGCAAATATTCACTATTTCTAATAATACGGAGCCGCTCTGGGCCTATGTGCAATAAGAAGTCAGCTGAAGGTTACTTTAGAGTGTCTGCTCAAGAGTGTCGAGGAAACTACACAACTTGAAGGAGTACGACACTGTACTCTTCAATCCAAGTGACTTATCAGAGCCAGTATTTTTTCATCACTGCACTCAGTAAGCTGGGACACTGCACCTCTCCCCAGAGTAACCAGCATGCAGACCACCAAAGGATTATACTACCTTCGGTACACTCCACTGCCTCATCTGTTCTTCCTTGTGTTAGAGAAAACAAATTTGAATACATTGTAACTCAGAGTTTAGGAAGGGTAGTCACTACATAAACAGAGATAAACATCACAGAATCATGTTGTCAAAGCAACATATGCATCAATATTTCCTACCATTGAAAACGTCACTATAAATACATTCGATGTAAATAGAACTCCAAAATCACACATTTCACAATAGAGTACTGACCAATAATTATTTTTCATTTATATGTCTCTGACTTTTTATGTTTTATTAAAAATCTTTTTCATCAAATCAATCTTTTCTAATTTAAAACTACAAGGAATACATTTTGACACAAATATTTAAGATAAATTGTAATACTAAAACAACTAAAATGAGCTAAACAAAATAATTTCAGTTTTTTGTTTTGTTCTTTGTATATAACTTAAGAGAATTAATTTATTATGAATTCTCTAAAATTTATCTATAAAAAATGTAACTCCTTATACGTGATTTATTATTAAATGGCACAGGACAAGAAGTAATAGTTTCCTTTGCTTAAGCACTCCAGGTATACAGCTTACATTGTATCTTATGCATCAGAACTCTAGTACTGCTTACCTATGATGATCTCTACCTTCTTACTGTCTTGACTGCCTCGATCATTATAAACATGACACCAGTAGGTCCCTTCATGTTCTAGATCCACATATGGAACCTGTATCAACATCAGAACACATATTTTCTCTTCAACTTTAATTTGAAAATTGATTAAAATGAAAGTCATTTGCATTTAAAAAATGTTCCAAATGTAGCACTTTAAAAAAAATTATACATCCTTATATTATCTTCATTCATTAAGCTAAGTATTAGCAAGCAAATGATAAGATGATTCTAACAGTGCAAAGTTTGGTGCAGTAATATCTGACATCTTATCCCAAAGCTTGGTTGAAATCTAGCCTTGCAGCAAACACAAGAAACTAATTAATACTGAAACATAAAGAACTTGAACTACAAGTACTGAAAACATTCCAGAGAGCATGAGTTTAAGTGGTCCCTCTACAGCTTAATGGTACCATTTATCTTACAGACTAATCCAACCCTCCCACCCCCTAGAAAATCAACTGCCTACCGTGTAATGCTTTTTTGTTTCATGTGTTAATGGTGATTCATCTTTGAACCACTGGTAGTGAGGCATAGGGCTTCCAATAGCAACACACTGTAAAACCAATTTGCTGCCTGGCACCAGCTTTTGGGACCTTGGTTCAACACAGATTTGCAACTTGGATTCTGAGATACCATCCACACTTCCTTAAATTCAAAGAAAAGATAAAATCTCTGGGTTAAACATAAAACCAAAATTTTCCTACAATTTATGCAGATATATCTAAGTCTATCCTTTAGTTTTTACAATCTTTAAAACCATACTTAATGTATATTTTCATCAAAGTCCACAAATGTTAAGAGATGTTCTAAAGAGAAAAGAATACTGTGGTGAACAAAAACAGTTGAGAAATTCTGGGCTAACAGGTGGGGATACTCAGGAAAGGAGAAGTGAGGGGGAACTAAGCTTGAATTATAGCTGCCACATGTAAAGGGCATGAACGTCAGCAGTTCAAGCTCAGCATCAGGCATAAGAATGAGAAGCGTCCATGTCATCTTAAGGGGCTGACAAAGAAAACGACAATCAGACCACATGGAGTTAACTCTTAATGACTCGTGCGTGACAGTTATACTCTGAAGTTATTTTTAAATAATCATTTAAATAAAATACGGTGACCCACTAACCAATACGCAACTTCACTTGTCACGTACCCTGTAGGCTTTCTGTTACTTCTGCCACATCACAGACATCGAGCTGTGACCACTGGCTAAATTCAAAGGTGGAATTGTTGTTAACTCGGCAGACATAAAAGCCTGCATCTTTTACATGCACTGTGTTAAAAATAAGTTCTGATGAATTTCCATATGGGATCTGCAAAAGAATCAGAGAGCATAAGTGAAGGATTAATCAAAAATCCAACTTATAATATAATACATGCTGTGTAAAATCTGATTTTATTACGGACCTTTGAAAAGTATATTTCTGTTTTTCTTCAAGTTATAAAATGTGCTAGTTACAAAGTAAAAAGTGAGATTTTTGAGGACTAGAGTATTAGAAATCCAGTCTTTTTTTTTTTTTTTTGGTTTTTCGAGACAGGGTTTCTCTGTGTAGCTTTGCGCCTTTCCTGGAACTCACTCTGTAGACCAGGCTGGCCTCAAACTCAGAGATCCGCCTGCCTCTGCCTCCCGAGTGCTGGGATTAAAGGCATGTGCCACCACTGTCCAGCAGAAATCCAGTCTTTAAAAAGTCCATTCAACAGAGAAGTTAGCTGTTCCCCAGATCTTACAGGGGCTCACTAGTAGGAACCCGTCTGGTCATTAAAACAGTATATCTATTTATGAAACTGCCACTTTCATAAGTAGCATTTAATGCAGTAAAGAGCAGAGTGGCATGAAGGAAACAAACTGGCTATTATTTTCATTTCTGGTCAAATAGCTATGAATACGCGGATAAACTATTTTACCTTGGGACTTCCCTTTCTCATCTAGGAAACACTGTAAGAAGATAGGCTGCTAAACAAAATCATCTCCAGCATCCTTCAAGTTTCTGGCTTCATGGAAGCACAGAAGTGAGAGGAAGGAATGGCCATAGCAGGTTTTTTTCACTTTAGTCAGAACTTGAATAATAGTGTTCTCTTCATGTTACTCTCAGATCAGAATAAATCTATCATAAATTCTCTCAGTTTTATGGTCATAAAGAAGACTTGCACAACTATATGAACAACAACACAAAACTTCCCTAGCCTACCCTTGTTCTTTTAGAACCATTTTTTGAGCATGTAATTTTTAAGCATGTTTGTTTTGAGACAGGGTCTTACAATGTAGCCCTGCCACCCTTGAACTCATAAAGATCCACCTGCCTCTCTGCCTCCCAACTATTGGAATTAAAGGCATGAACCAACCGTCTAGAATCTCTGGTCTTTTATGAAGAAACACACTTGATTTTCTCATGGTTTCTCATAGTTAGATATATTAGCCTCTAACTTCACCAATTTAGCAAACTGCTTAATTTATAGGTTTCTCCATGCATATAGTTTTTCAGAATATTTTGCACTTATTTATTATGTGTATGTACACACATGCACATGTATCACAATGCATGACAGTATGATGGTCAGAGGACAACTTTTGGAAATTCTCTTTTTTGATCATGTGAGTCCTAGGGTTGAAACTCAGATCATCAGTCTTGTCAGCAAGAGCCTTTTCCCAATGAGCCATCTTGTAGACCCATGTTTTTCTTCAACTAATGAATCTATCTATCTATCTATCTATCTATCTATCTATCTATCTATCTGCCAACCTACCTATCATCCATCCATCCATCCATCTATCTATCGAGACAAAGTCTCTCCACATAGCCCTGGCTATCCTGGATTTCACTATGTAGACTAGGGTGGCCTCAAGCTCAGATCCACCTGCCTCTGGAGATCTGGGATTAAAGGCATGCACCACCATGCCTGGCCCCCATCTTTTTTTTTTTTTAATTTAAAGATACATTTTATTTCATTGTATGTGTGCTTGCCTATATTTGTGTATGTGACTGCAGAGGCCAGAAGAGGCTGTCAGATCTCCTAGAATTGCGTTAGACAGGTGTAACCTGCTAAGTTGGTGCTAGAAACTGTAGAGCGGGTCGCTGGGAAGAACAGCAAGTGCTCTTAACTGCTGAGTCATTCCTCCAGCTCCTACTACTCCATCTTCCCGAACACAGAAACGAAGAGGGAAAAGTTTTTCTTTCTCAATAATCCCATCTTCTCTGAAATTGTTCCTGTATTTTTTCTTGGCTTTAGCATGTGTTTTTTTCCTTTACCAAATCATTTTCAAAAACATACTTTTAAGTCCTTTGTATCAAAAATCAGTCAACAAACATTTTTCTGTTTACGTCCTCTTCTTAGCAGCACTGAAGAAGCTGGTCACCCCTTTCTTCTGGAAACACTGCTTTTTACTCTCCTCACTCCATCGACTGCTCCAGCTTTCAATTTCATTCATTATAAACTCCCACTGTTGTCTCTCTGGCTATCCAAACTGCCCATGGGGTTCACTTGCATATATAACAGACATGGTCTGAAGTCACACTCTTATTTTCCCTCCTAGACAGAGACCTCTACAGTCTTCTCAAAAAACCAAAGAAACCCTACAGAGTAAACATGGCTAGGATACTCAGTGGAAAAGCTAGGGAAACCTCCTTGAGTTCTTTCTGCTTCCTCTTGCTCCACATCTGATCTATTGGTCTGGCTAACCATATCCTCACACACGAAGTACACCCTATGATTTCACCTTCATTAACTCACTGAGACCACACTACAGCTATTTCTCAGCAGCACAGACAATAGATACCCGGTTGTCTTGCTGTTCTCTGCCTTCTTTAGGCAGCAAGTTTGAATGTAAAAAGTCCATCAGTTCTCTGCTGGTTCCTCACCCTCTGTGGCCATGCTGATGGAATGCCTGGCCACTCCACTAGCTACATGCGCTGGCAAGAAGCTTAATCATTCCAGGGCCTTACGTCCTATGTAATCCGTGTGCTGCATGATCACACAATTTGTATGCAGCGTGATCACGTAATCTATGCACATTCATGGTGTAGCTAGGTAAGCCCATGTGTGCATGTTGGGAGGGAGATCGATAAAAAGCAGGCCACATACCCCTTCCCCCCCCCTCCCTGCACTATCTTCAATAGGCCTAAGCATATCCCCTCTGTTCTCTTCCCCTAATAAACTCTTATAGTGGGTTTTGTTGTGCCTCGTGGCTTTTCTCTCATGGTAAACAGCGCCACATAATGAATAACACTAACTTCTAGTCATGATGTATTTTATAATTATATACTTCCATAGTAATTTTTTTCTCTATCATCTACAAGAGGACTTCATTAAAATAAAAGCAACTAGAAAAAATATGATAAAATACCTTTAGTTACCATCTCTCAAGGGCTTGATACATATAGAATCTCACAACCTTGGTGACAGGGATTCACACATCCAGTAATGGTAACTAGGGCCAACACAGACTTAACCTAGTACTGAATGTCTACGTAACTGCTCTGTTTTATTTTCATGTAGGGAAAAGATGTACGAAACCATAAATTTCCTATGAGACACCATAATCTGTTGCAAACAGCTATTAGAACGAGGCCCCACTCTGCCCCACCCCATATGCTGGACAACTCCTCCAGCAGTCCTGCACTGCCAGGCTTCCTGGTTCTCCGAGTTGCCATGTTGTCTGACACCACATCCAGCTCCTCTAGACTCTCACTCTCCCTTCCCTGCCGGGCTGTCTGAGTGCTCCAGGAGCCCACATCCTTGTGCCTCTGGCTAGGCCCATCCTTCTCTCACACAGGTCACCCGGCTCCTCTCCTCGAGAACACGTCTCCATTTTGTGCCACTAGGTAGGCCCTGTTCCTGCAGCCTTCACTCCTAGTCCCACAGAGGAAAATCTCTCAACCCTCTCACAATTTACAAGATCCTCTCCTGAACAGTGTACAAACCTCCACTGAAAAAGGAAGATTTGAAGAGAAGACTCAATCAACAAACGATTTCAGATGCACTCGTCTCAGTGCAGAAACAAAAGCCACAGACACACAAAATCACGACAACATGTCACCTCCTAAAACTACTAATCATGGAAGAACTACCAGATGCAGAATTCAAAAGATTATAATCATGTTCAAACAACTCAGAGAAGATATGAATATGGTTCAGAAGAATAAAAACAAAAAGCTGAGGAAATGAGGAAGTCAATTCAAGAAGAAGGTTGACTTACTTGCTGAAGAAAACCCAAACTGAAATCATGCTGAAAAATGAAAAACTCAATAAGCCAAATAAAAACCTCAGTGGAGAGTTTCACCAATAGAATGGATCATGTGGAAACCAGAGTGTCAGTGATGGAAGACTTTGTATTACTCAGTAAAGGTCAATAATAGACTTAAAAAAAAAGTATGGAGAACTTTGAGAAGACACAGCCTTAGAGTTATGAGCATGGAGAAAGGAGAATACCACATGAAAGGCAGAGAGAATATTTTCAATAAAATAATAGAAGAAAAAATTTCCTAAACCTAAAGAAGAAATACTCATTCAGGCATAAAAGGCTTACAAAATACCAAATAGAGAAGACAAGGAAAGAAAATCCCCATGACATAATTATAGTTAAAATACTAAAAGCACAGAATAAAGAGAGGGTACTGAAAGCTGCAAGACAGAAGGGTTGGTCACTAATAAAGGCAGACCCATCAGAATAACACCTAGGATTGTTTAATAAAAACTTTTATAGCCAAAAGTACCTGGAAAGACCAAGTTCTTGAAAGACTTCAACTGCCAACCCAGACTATTATACCCAACACAACTATCTATTAAAAATTATAAGAGAACTAAAACTTTTTACAATAAAAACAGACAAGAGGAACTTATGACCATCAAGCCAGTTCTACAGAGGACTAGAAGGAATACTTTGGATTTAAGAGACGGATAAACATAGTCAAGGGGCCACAGGGAATAAACACTGTCACACAAGCACAAAGGGATAAAGGATTGGGAAATGAGGAATGGTGGAAGACCTGACCAAAATAAAGGGCGCATGAGAAAGCCACACAGAAATTTATTCTCTTCCAATCCCCCCAACAGGCAGCACAGCTTTTTTTCCGTGTTTGGAACGGAGGGGACATTAGGGTTTTCATTTAATAACACTATGCCTTCTGGGAGTGGTTTTACCCACCCATATTAGTGAAATAGTCAGGTCTGATGGCTCACACTCTAATCCTAGCACTTAGGAATCGAGGCAGCAGTATCACCACAAATTTAAGACCAGTCTGGGTTCCACAGTGAGTTCCAGGCCAGCTTGGACTACAGAATAAGATCTTGCCTCTAATCAACTAACCAACCAATCTAAATGGAATTAAAAGACATTTAAAAATTACCTCCTTATTCATTTTGAACCATTGATATTGTACAAAAGGATGTCCAGTTGCCCGGCAACACAGTTTTACAAACTGTCCAGCCAAAACTGACTTTGATTCTGGGTTTACAGTGATCTTTAATCCTAAGGGGGGAAAAAAAAGGTAAAGTCACAAAAGAGGGTTTTCCTTGCTTATATACACAAAACAACAAAGAAATATCCGTCTTTGTCATAAATCAGGTATTTATTTCTCCTTCTCTATCAGTATGCATTCTTCAGCTGAAAACTCTGCAAAACCACAAGAAAAAGACCTGCAAAAGACTTTGATATACTCTATTTCTCCATGGTTAAGAAGGGAAATTATTTGCCACATTTCTCCAATTTTTAGGAAGACTTTTTCCTCAAACGCTACCATTTCTGAGATCAGGATGCACCTTTTAAGATACCTGCTAGACAGACATCACCGTGAAGTTCTCAATGCCAGCACATACAAATACCTGGTCATAAGTGTTCACATCACCAGCACTTCAACTCAGTTAGTTGCACAAGTAAGTAGTGTGCAAGTTAGTTTTTCTCAACTTGATATAAACTAGAGACATCCAAGAAGTTGAGCTGATTCATAACTAGAAGCATAACCCCTACTGACTAGTGTTCATGGTACTGGAAGGTACTCTGCACACTACAAAGGAGAAAGAAAATCTTCAACATCTCCCAGCTACAAACGGCTCAATGTACCCAATGATCTGCCTGCAAGATACAATGGTGCTACAGTGGCACCAATGTCATCGAGTAACCAACCACTTTTGATTGGATTTAAAGCCCACTCCATGAGATGGGACCTATAACTGACACTGCTAAAATGGCCAAGAACCTGAGACTAGGTAAGTCATGGGCCAAAGGGGAAACCTACTACTATTATGCTGCAGAAAGAACAGCAATAAAATTACCCCTAAGGATATACTGCTATATCCATAGATCCAATATTGCTCAATCCTTATCAGAGAAGCTTCTTCTTGCAGTAGATGGAAATTAACACAGAAACCCACAAGTAAACAATGTGCAGAGTGAGAGACTTTGGAACACTCAGTCTTAAATGAGATGTCTTCACAAAGCCCTTCCCCTCAAGGTCCATTGGTGGTGGATGTCTCCAAGGAAACAGTGTCTTCCAGATACAGAAGGGTTGTGCACGTATGATATCAAAGATACTGGGACAGCATGCACAAGACCTGCACAAATTCCAGCCATATAAAATGCCAGCGCATAGCAGAAGGGGAAGTGGGCACAGAGTGTCACCCCTAACCAAGAAGCTATTTGTAACTGATGCCTGCTGGCAGAGAGAAAATACGTTTTCTACAATGGAGTATATTATATATATATATACTAGATGTCAACTACACTCCAGGGCAGGCCTCATGTCCAGGAGTAGTTGGCCAGAATTTTTTTCTTTTTTCTTGTGTGTGTGTGTGTGTGTGTAGCTTTTTATTTCACTTTTTTGTCTTATTTGTTATTTGTTTTGAGTTGTTTGATTTGATTTGTTATTTGTTGTTTGAGTTTTGCTTTTTGTTTTGTGGTTTACTGCTGGAAAGAAAACATGAATTTGCATGGGTAGGGACGTTAAGTAGGATCTGGGAGGAGTTGGGGGAGGGGGAAATATGATCAAAATGTGTTGTATAAAAATGTTAAAAATCTGTTTAAAATTTTATTATTATTGTTTTTATGTGTATGTAAATATGATGCATGTGAGTATGGTAAGTGCACATGTGTGTTTACAGGTGTATGTGCTTGTGATCAAGTACATCAAAACTAGAAGCAGTTTAACAATTCAAGGAAGACCAGATCAAGAGCAAAGTCAACCCATGAGCTGTGGAAAGCCCAATGAGAGAACTAGTAGACGGGGACACCTCATTCCTAGGGGCTCCTTTAGAAACCGTATTAGGAGAGTACAAGTTTCAGGATGAACTTGCACTTGTCTTCAGCTTCATGCTAGTGGCCACTGGAAGTCACTCCCAGATCTGCCTTAGCCAGTTTTAGCTTTCAAAACAAATAAAAAGGAATCTCAGTTAGCTTCTCAAAAGACAGGGACCTCTATGCTACAGTTATCTGTCTCTCAAGAGCTATCTCTGGCAGGCGGTGGTGGCACACACCTTTAATCACAGCACTCGGGAGGCAGAGCCAGGCGGATCTCTGTGAGTTCAAGGCCAGTCTGGTCTACAGAGCGAAAGTGAGGACAGGCACCAAAACTACACAGAGAAACCCTGTCTCAAAAAACCAACTCCCCCCCTCCCCCCCAAAAAAAAGAGCTATCTCTGGCTATAATTCCCTAACAACTGGAACAGAATATAGCAAAATCAGACTAAAGTTCTTCCTTGAGTCAAAATGAATCTAGTTCCCCCTTCTTGCATCTGGACCTGAAAGGTCTGGTAAGATACCATCTACAGAACACATCTTTTTTTTTTTTTTTCTTTTCGAGACAGGGCTTTGCGCCTTTCCTGGATCTCACTCTGTAGACCAGGCTGGCCTCGAACTCACAGAGATCCGCCTGGCTCTGCCTCCCGAGTGCTGGGATTAAAGGCGTGCGCCATCACCGCCCGGCATACAGAACACATCTTATCCTAATCACACTCTGCAAGGACTGTCAGAGAAAAACACGGCTTTCTGTGGAGTAAGAACTAATGCTTTCTGTAAAATCACATTAAGAACAAAACAGAGAAAACACTAGCACACTCTGCATCTTCACTAAGATTTATGAATGTAATGTACTAAAAAGGAAAACTGGAGATCAGATAAACTTACACACACACACACACACACACACACACACACACACACACACACTGTGACAGGGTCTCACTATGTAGTGCCAGCTGTCCTCGAACTCATTATGTCGACCAGGCTGGCTTTGAATTCAGGGATCTGCCTGCCTCTGCCTCCCAAGTTCTGAGATTAAAGATATACACCACTACAGGTGGCTTATAATTGTATAGTTGTTCCAGATTTGGTATTTGTCTGCTCTACTGAACAAAGACCTTTTAACAGGCGGAAATGACTGCCTTGTTCATCTCTGAATCCATACACTTAATGCCTGAGACTGCAAAGGTAATGGAATACAGGTGTTCAATGAAGAATTCTGAGCGAAGTCACAAACTAAACTGATTATTGTCAGAGCTTACATTTTTCTTATGATAGTCTTATTCTCAAATTTGTTATTAAAACATAAAAGATATTTTCTATAATTATTTTTGGTTTGAGAGATATTACTCTGTAGCTGAAGCTTGCCTGGACTCACTGTGTAAGCCAAGCTAACCTTAAACTCCTGCTGCTCCTCTTACTTCAGCTTCTTGACTGCTGGATTACAGGCATGAGCTTCCGTTCCATGTGACTCCTGTAACCCCGAGGCAGAGAATACCCCATTCACTGCATAGATCACGCAACCTACAGCCAGAGTGACTGTATTATTGAAAAAGAGAAGAAGGTTATATTTACTTCCCAGAAAGGCTTAAATTTTCAGAGGCTTTGGTGTTCTATAAAGATGAGAAATTAGTAGATAGCACAGTGTATTAGGCTAGTGGATTTCAATCCTTACAACTTCTGGGTACCTATTATTCAAAGCACTGAGTATATACAATTTTTTAAATGCTCCTTTAGGACATTCATTGTTTAGAGATGGGCAACAATTACATGTGGTATCTGCATTAGCAGTTCATTGTTCCTAGCCTATACACCCTAGTTGAAGAAACCAAGCATTCAACACAGTACACCTCCAAAGGAGGCATGCAAGGGTATAGAGGAAGGCTGGGAGTCCATGTTTCCTCCCTCATAATCTAAGATCATCAGTCTGCTTACACCTCCAGGGTCTGTTGCCTCTTTTTCTTACCCAACAGGTCTATTTTTGTTTGGTGATCCATGTGGTTCTTGGAAAGCTGACTCAGCCTAACTCCATTCTTGGCTTTAAGCCAGGCATATGGACACATTCCATGTCCTTGGCTACAGTGACAGTATTAGGGACAAGCAAGTGAACAAAACAAGTTAACTAGAATAACCTGCTTTTTGCTTAGAATTCTGGGACAAAGATAAATGAGCCTAAGAAGACCCAGCAGACATCCTGGGCCAGTGAGTGTCAGTTTTAAAAGGAAGTCAACACCAAGAAAGAAGAGGGAAAATATTACATTTAGGGCTCTTCTCTGCCTCTTAGGAAGTCTTAACTATTTCTGGGTGTTTCAGGTAGAAATAATTTATTACCTTCATCAATTTGAGTTTGGGTTTCTGGTAGGTGTAACTGACAATTTACCACTATATGTTATGTTCCTAATTTCTCATATTGAAAACATATCTTAGGGGCTGGAGAGACGGCTTAGTGGTTAAGAGTGGTTAAGATGGCTTAATGCTCTTACAGAAGACGCAGGTTCAGTTCTCAGCACTCACCATCAAGTAGTTCACAACTACCTATAACTTCAGTTCCAGGGGATCCTATGCCCACTGGCCTCTAAGAGCACCTGCATGCATGTGGTGAATATAAACATACGCAGGCATGTACACATATACATCATAACCAATTTGGTTCTCTAAAGAAACACTAATACACCACAGTTATGTAAAATAGAGAGCATGAAGTCTATAGTTTACAGCTCTTCCAGGCTTGCCTGGATTATTTGCTCCTGATGGGACATATGGCAAAATGGAATCCTGGAAAGAAAGACACTGCAGGGCTGCTGCCACTAGCAGTGTCTGTTTATCTGAAACAGGATCTCACTATGTGGTCCAGGCTGGCCTGGAACTCTTCATTTTCCTTCTAACCCCTAGAGCCCTGGGGATTCAGACACCCCCACACATAATCAAGCAACACTGATGAAATGTCCTTCCTCTCTGATATCTCTGTAGTTGATCAACTCCACCTGCAGCTACATGGAGGATAGATTGTATCCTATTTTTTTAAGTAGCCATCTCTCTAGCCTGTTTCCTATTTGTTTTATTCTTAATTTTGTATTTTATTTTTATTTATGTGTCTCTGTTTACATGCAGGTGAGTGTAGGTGATGTCAGAGGTCAGAGGGGAGCTGGTGTCATAAGCAGTTGTGAGTTGCCTGATGTGGGTGCTGGGAACCATGCTTGGGTCCTATGGAAGAGCAGCAAGTCTCTTAACTGATGAGCCCCGCGTGTTCTAACCCCTTGTTTCTTATTCTTCACGTGACTTTGCATATGAAAAGCCTCACTCAATACAGGTATAATAAGAAAAATCCATATGACTAACATTTCAAAAATATCGCAATGGCAAAAAGCAGTGAATATCTGACCTACTCACTTTATCTCATCCTTATATACACATACATACACTGTGTTTTGGGATACACTATTTCAGTGTATATTATAGAAACCTTACATGTATATACATTAGCATGCATCTTCCTAGAAAATGAGAGTCTTCTATTGGACTACAATACACAATTCTCTAATATCAAATATGTGGGTTACATTCAAATTTTTAAAATAACTGCTTAAAAGTGTCTTGTATACCTTGCTTCTTCAACTATAACCCAACACTTTTGATATCTTCTTTGGTCTCAACATAGGTGGAAGGAGAATGAAGCTCTATGCATTTATATTTTCCAATAATACTGAACACAATCTACCTTGTCAAGAGATGTATTTTTCTCTAAGTTTGACTCAATGAATTTCTGAAGAACATTCCTGAAGGAAAAAACAAAACAAAAAACCCACCTACCTGGGGGGTTGAGAAGCTGAAGAACGTCAGTGTGTTCTAAAGCCTGTAGGAAGTCATTCAGTTCTGTGACTGTACATCCTTTTTCACCCATCAGTTTCAGTAAACACAAACTTGGGCTTCCCTCTGGCTCCAACACCTTCAGAGAACACTGCTCCAGGTCCAGGCAACTGAAACAGCAGATTGAAGTCATGGCGTGCCTAATATGTGGCTGGACCATTATAAGTGCTGTACGGAAAAAACGCTGGGAGGTAGGAAACTAATCACAGCATGAAACCAGGGCCCTTCCCTCCTCCTTCCCTCCTCCTTCCCTCCTCCTTCCCTCCTCCTTCCCTCCTCCAGCATTCCTTCCTCTTCTAGTCTCCTCTCCCTTTCGCTCCTATAATTATTAAGTCTAAAGGGTGTGAGAGAAATTGAGTCTTGATGCTCATCAAACTTTTATCCTTAAATTGAAAGTGGGGAAAAGGCTAGAAAACTTCCCCCCGCCCCTCCCTCTCTCTCTCTCTATCAGTCTATCATTCTATCAATCAAGATAGAGTCTTACCATGTAGCTCTGGCTGGCCTGGAACTTGCTATAAAGACCAGGCTGACCTTGCATTTAGAGAGCTACCTGTCTCTGCCTCCCAAGTGCTGAGTGCCAGGGTACCACACCAGGCCTATTCACTCTTTCTTCTCTGCGTTTTTGTTTTGTTTTTGTCTTGGTATTTGGAGACAGGGTTTCTCTGTGTAACTTTGAAGCCTGTCCTGGAACTTCCTCTGTAGACCAGGCTGGCCTCAAACTCACAGAGATCCTTCTGCCTCTTGAGTGCTGGGATTAAAGGTGTGCACCACCACCACCTAGCTGTGTGTGTGTGTGTGTGTGTGTGTGTGTGTGTGTGTGTTTTTAACTAAAAAAATATTTTTATTTGTGTATCAAAGACTCTATAGCTAACAGTTGCTGTCAAGATCAAGGCAAAAAAGGTTTGAAAAGCTATAGAGGATAATCACTATTGGATTCAACCTCCCTTGATTATTTTAGACAGCATTTATGATACACTTGCAGCTGAATCTTAAGCATATGTGTCAGGTAACAGAATTACATTTCCCTTAACACTTCCTTTAAAGATGAAGTAGAATATGACCCAAAATGAAGAGACTAACTAGTTGGAAGATGCTGCTGTCATCTGAGAGGAATATGTCCTTCATCCCACGAGGTCAAGATACCTTAAATCACTGCATGAACAGTGTGAGAAGTATTAAGAACAGAGAAGCTCATGTCTTAAAAATGATACTGGATAGGATAATCAATGTTATAAAGTTAGCAACTGGAAAAGGCATAAGAATCCCTTGTCAAGGATCATATATTAGAAATGAATGACTAAATTTTCAAATGAATGAGATTCATAAATACATGAGTGCAGTATACAAAATACATGTTTCATGATTCAGAAGTTTGTCAGGCACTATGTACACATGAAATTAAGAAGCCATCTCATCAGGTATAACCAAGGGATGTTTTAACTGATATAGGGAAAAAAGCTCAGTAGCCAGAGTTTTCCTTCCTAACAAAGAACAAGGAGCAAATTGAAGTTAAATATTTCTGTTCTAAAACAAGATATAAAGATAAAAGTATGATTTGTGTATCATTTTGTTTTACTGATTTTCTGCATGGGTACTCACTAGCTTTTGGCTAAGGTGATACGTATACATAACCAACTTTTATCTTTCCTTTTTTAGTTATGTTCTTGTAACAGTGTGCTTTGATGTGGCTTCTATAAACTTGAACTTGGAATTTAAAGAACTTCTTTATCACCGAAGCAGATGAACTTCGCTTTTAAAAATTATTTTTAGGTGCTAGAGGAACGGCTCAGTGGTAAAGAGAACTCACTGCTCTTCTGGAGATCTGAGTTCCATTCCTAGCACGCATATCACATGGCTCACAACCACCTGTAACTCTAGCTCTAGAGACATTATTTTCACTTCGTAATAGAAAAGCATTTAGATGGTTTATTAAGCAGAGGAACAAGCCTAACTTAAGGTTTTTATTTTATTGTTTAGGTCCAGGGTGGCCTCAGGATTAAAATGCCTTCTACCTCAACCTCCCTAACGCTAGAATTACACATTGCACTTACCACACCTCATTGATCTTTTCTTTGAGATAGGGTTATGTATCCTAAGCTTGCCTCACACTCCCTATATAAAGGACCTTTAATTCTAATTCTCTTGCCTCTACTTTCTAAATGCTAGAAATACAGGCACTTGCTGCAACGTCTGGTTTATGTGGAACTGGGGATGGAACCCAATTACTTATTAATATTTTGAAAGAAGCACTCTTACTGTTGTGTTTAGAAAGGTTGGAGTAAGAAGTAAAGGAGAGAGAACTCAAGCAACTACTAGAAGAAACTGGGTGAGAGAGGTAGGCTTGGCTTAGTGTGCCAGTGGATGCTGGATTCTAAATACATACTGAACATACAGCAGCCCCGATTTCCTGACAAAGATGACGTGTATACACGTAAAGTCAGGAATGACTGGATTTTCTGGTCAACTGGAGAGATGTGCTAGTCACTCGGATACAGAGAACTAAGGTCTACAGGAGAGTACATATTAAGTTTGGGACATGTTACATTTAAGATGCCTACTAGTCATTTAAAAGGAGATGGCATTAGCAATCTACATGCATACATCTGGGAAAAGCAGATATACTGGTTGTAATCAGCTTGACTGTATTTAAAACCCCGAGTGAAGGATAATATCAGAAGATTAGATAGAAAAGCATTTAGAGATAAAAGCATGAATTCTAGAGCACTTCAAAATTCAGACTGACGCGACAGATGAGGGACATTTGTAGTAATCTTTTAAATACGTGTTTTCATTTGTATCATAATCTGCTTGAGGGTAAGATTTCTGCAGCTAAGGAGCATCTTCTACACTGTAGACAAGCAGCAACAGATGTTTTCCCTCTCGGTTCATGTTTCACAGCTCTACTTTCAAGTACTCTGCTTAGACAATTTAGATATTTCAAAGCTTTCTGAAAGTTCCGCCAGTCCTTGGAGTTCAGCTGTTCTCCTCACCACCAATCAACATATGCTGGCACACTAAGAATGAGTCTAAACTGCCAGCAAAAGACATCTGATTTTAGCCAAGCACAGTGGTGCATACCTTTAATCCCAACACCTGAGAGGCAGAGGAAGATCTCTTTGTGTTCAAGGCTAGTTCACTCTACATAGCAAGTTCCAAGTCAGTCAGGGCTACTGTAGAGATCCTTCCTTAAAGTGTCTGATACTAGATCAGTTTGAACAGGATCGGGTTTGAAAGCAGGGCATTCCTACCGGTCTCTGGTTATAGCAAACTAGACTACATACAAAGATTCAACCTAGATCATCAATACTCATCTGAAAACATATATTCCTAATCTCTGGAGACAGCTCTGAATGGACTCTTCCTGTGATTTATATTACTAAATTCTCATGTAACTTAAATACAACTGTAAAGAATGAGGGGGAAATGTGACAATAGGTTGAGCACGGTGGCACCTGGAAAGCAGAGGCAGGAGGATCATGACAAGTTTGAGGTCAGCCTGGTCTATGTAGTAAGACCTCATCTCACACCAAACCAAACCAACAAAAAAGAAAGAAGAAACATAAAAGAAGACATTTTTACAAAAGGCAGAGTTTTGAGATGCGAGCTGTGAATTCAATGGCCGAGGAAAGCATTTCCCATTTTCCCGTGACTTGTTATGTGTACACCCTGGACCAGGCTCTCACACTGCAGTCAGAGGAAAATGCCTTCACGGCCTTTTACCATCAGACGCTCTTCCACCATCTGCACCAAGTCCCCTTAAAGGAACTTTTTAAAAGTCTTAACCATAGTAAGAACCACCAGCTGACAACACCTATCTCTTTGGTTCAGACTGGCCAGCCCCAAGCTTTCACTGCTAACTTTCATTTGTTTGTGAGCCAGCGTCTCATTATGTAGCATTGGCTGGCCCAGAACTCACACTGATCTGCCTGCCTCTGCTTCCTGAGTGCTGGGATTAACGGTGTGCACCACCATGCCTGGTTTTCCACACTCACTTTTAATAGCAACCAATCCTTCTGATGCCAATCGGTATGGGTTTACTACTTCCAGATTCTCCAGCCCTCCCCACCCCAATTAACCTACATGGAGCTATCTAACCGCCATCATGGAAGACTCAGCCGACTCTTACCAGATTCTATCTTGAATTCTAAGATTCTAAAAATGAACAGTAAGTAACTGGCCCTGTCTCTACACTACTCCTTGTAACTTGCTTTGAACTTTTCCCTAAGCCCCCTTAAACATCATTCTGCAGTTTACTTAGCAATGTTTTACTGAATTGGGAAGGAAAACTTAATACCCAGCATTAAGTACCCACTCCTTTTATAACTCAGTAGCCATGCTTCTTTTGGGCAGAGCTTAGTATACTGACTTTTGTGTCTTTTTCCATCACCATGAAGGCTCTCACCAAGAAGCCTAGCACCTTCCTTAACTGGATTCACAGTTAACACCACAATACTCTGCAGATCTGCCCTCAAAGAAAATAATTTCTTGTATTAGTTTGTCATTTTCTGATTTTTTTTTTTTAAATCAGGCAACATGGGCCTCTTCTATTTGAGCAAAAATCCCATACCAACATTACTCTCTGCTTCAATCCTATACTCTGAAGCTTGGGGTTAATGGGAAGATTAAGGTGGATAATGCATGTAAACAGCACACTGTAATATACTATGTGTTTAGTAAATATTATTTACAACCAACCTGCCATTTCATAATATGTAACTGTGAATGTTCCCCAAAAGCAGTCTACAGAACTTCCAGTTAATAAGAAGCACTCAATAAATACAATTTTAAATGAAGGACTCCCCTCTCTAATAAGTTTTTGTCTAAGAGAAGTTCTGTGTATAACACAAAATAAATGACTTCCACTCCTAGGCTTATAAAGATGTGTACAAATAGTTACAGTCAAAGTCAAAGTTTAGTCATTTGACAAGAAACTGGAAGCAGGCTGAAATCTTGACAAGGATATAAAGTAGTGGTTCAAAGCTCCATTTGGGAACCCCTAGTGCAGTTAGTTCCTGAGAGCACTTTCAGGCGGTTCACAAGGTTAAAGCATTTTTTTCTTACTACTATACTACTAAGTCACTATTTTCTATTTATTCTTAAAGGTGTATACACAAGTTTCTAGAGTTCTGAAACGTATGAAACTGCCACGGAATGAATCAAATATAAAAGAATCTATCTCTGCAATTAAACTAAGACACCATAAGGATGTTCAAAGCATCCAGCAGTTTGAGGCAGGAAGAATGCTACAAGATTCAGACTAGACTGGCTGATGGGGTGTTCCAGGACATCTCAGGCTACAGTGAGATCCTGTCTCTGAAACCAAGAAGGAAAAAAAGAGCCTTCAAGACGAGTATGATGGTGCCAGCTTGAAATCGCAGCATGAGGGAGGCTCATCAGGAGGACAGATTTTTAAAATGTTAACCGATGTGCTATTTGTTTTTGGACCAACTTTTTCTGAAGAAAAAAACAAAACAAAACAACGACATCGTTTCAGCTACCATGTAAGAATTACTTTTAAGGTCAATTTTTTTTTTTTTTTTTGGTTTTTCGAGACAGGGTTTCTCTGTGTAGCTTTGCGCCTTTCCTGGAACTCACTTGGTAGCCCAGGCTGGCCTCGAACTCACAGAGATCCGCCTGGCTCTGCCTCCCGAGTGCTGGGATTAAAGGCGTGCGCCACCACCGCCCGGCACGTAAGAATTACTTTTAAGGTCAATATTTTTAAGAGTGATTGGTTTTACTTTCAAATAGTAAATATCTGTAAACACCTGCAAAATATAGAGAAAACCCCCCCCCCAAAAAAAAACCCTATTTGTACTCTTCAATCATTCGCAGGAGCGTGGAAGTCCTGAGACCCAAGCTTTAAGAATCACTAACTGTGATGCCAAGCCACGCCAGTGGTCCCCTTTCTCAGCAGGAAAAGTCTAATTTCTTAGGACAAAGTTTGGTGAGCTCGCTGGACTGAAGACGAAGGTGAATTTGGTCCCGTCTCTTCTCTCCTCCTTTCTCTCTACACTTCACTCCTCTACCCGCCCCGGGTCCTTCCAGATCGCCCTTTGGGTTCCGAGGGCTGTGTCCACATCCCTCTCCTTTGCTTCAAAACCCACTGGATTATGACCCTGCAGATAAGCTTCCCAAAGATCGCTTTGCAGCTTTAGGGGCGGAGGGTCAGCGAGAAGGGGCCACCTGGCCATCAGGGCCAGTCCCTTCCCGATCCCGGGGCCCTGGCCGGTCTCGCGCGACTCCCCGCCCCGGGGCACAGCCCTCCCTCCACCCCGAGGGTCCCGCGGCCGGACCCCCGAGCTCACCTGAGCCGGAGGCGCCCCCGACTGCCGGCCAGCTCGGCCAGCCGCCTCCAGCCTCGGCCCTCGGGCGCGCGGTCCAAGCTCTCGCTGAGCCTCCGCAGCAGCGGCTCCGGCAGGCGGTTGAGGGTGGCGCCGGCTGGAGGGGCGCCGCTCGGAGGCCCCGAGGGCGCGGTCGGGGGCGGCTGCACAGCCGGGGGCAGCGAGGCCTTCAGCGGCTGCCCCCACAGCGACATGGCTACGCCGGGAGCCCCGACGGCCCAGCTCCAGCCGGTCCCCTCGGGCCTCGCCGTGCCGGGAGGGAGCCGCGGGAGCGGAAGGAGAAGTCGGCTGCACCGCGAGGCCGTCACAGGAAGAAGCACTTGCTCCCGGCCGGCGAGACAGGTTCCCCTGAGAAGCCGCGGGGCGCGCCGGCCGAAGGGGGCGGGGCGGGGGCGGGCTTAGGGGGCGGGGCCTGGGCTGTGCGCGTGCGGGGGCGGGGCTTGGGCGGGGCCTGTGCGGGCGGCCTCTCCAATGGCAGGGAGGGATGGGCTCGGGGAGGGGCGGGTCGTAGGGTGGGGCCGGCTCACGAGTGGCTACAGCCTCACCTGCCGTGACGAGGGTGGGATAGGGGGCGGGGCCGGCCTGCTCAGCCTCCCGGGACGGGGTGGGGTTGTGGGCGGGGCGTGCGGCCGCACCTCCCCCGCGGGCCCGTTCTGGTTCCGCGGAGTCGGAAGGGATGGGTGGGTGTAGCTGTTGGAGGAAGCGGTGGAGGAAAGGCCGCGCAGCGAGGAAGCCTGCGGCGTAGGAGCTTCCCGGGACCGTGGGAGGATGCTTACCTCACACCCGAGAGGGTAGCACGCGCTTCCTGGAGGCGCCCCCGCGCGCGCGCGTCTGCGCTCCGAGGACCCCGGGGCTTGCGTATGTGCGGTGTGCGCCCAGACCGCCAGCTCCCCACATTGGGCAACCTCAACAGACGCTTCCTCTGCAAGATGGTGTTGCCAGAGGGAAGTAGTGCAACTGGAGATTCAGCTACTCAGAAGGGAATGGACCCAACTCTTGGCGAGACTTTTCAAAGATTGAGTTTCTTATCTAGGGATTCAGCGGTGCAGTTCGCTGGTCTAGTATGTCTAAAGAAAGCTCTGGGTCCATCCTCAGCTCCGCAAATGCAAGCAAGCAAAACCCAAATAGTTCTGGTATATTTTAACTAATTAGATCCTGGAAATAGTTGATTTTAGCAGTAATGGTGTGGTATCCTTGGGATCAAATTGTCAGTCACAGTGTTCCTATTCCAAGCAGTTCCTCTAGCTCACGAGTCTAGGTTATGGATGATTTAGATCATTCAGGGGAACTGCTTGGAATATGAACACTCTAGATTCTAGACGAAGCGACAGCAGCTACACTTGGAACTCTGGTCTCGTCTCATCCACAGCAAAGACTGTTATCCCTTTGGAAACTATAGGCTTGTTCGACATAGGAACAAACAACTTAGGGTGACCGGTCAGGTAGCCTGAGATACAAGCCTTCCAGGCCCAGTTTATCATGCCTTTAGCTTTTTATTACTCCCTGCAGCAGTAATTTGAATGACCAGATTCTCAAAGTTGTTGGCAGGGTGGGTGTTTTCCATACATGTTCCATCACATTCTGGTACAGCCAGTCACTGAGTTTGTTGTGACCTTAGTAAGTTGATTTCTGTCCCTCGCCTGTTAATACGGGACTGGATGGTAGTATACAGAGTTCTTGCCAGGATGAAAATATTTGATGCTGATAAAACACTCAGTACAATGACTGGCACATACCAGATCCTCACCCTTTTAACCTTGCCAGTGCGAAGGCCTGTTTCACATTCAACTTGAATTGGAAAGCTCTCCCCATCTTATCGAGTGTCTATGTTTTCCTCGGGTATTGGACAAACAGTTTTCTATTATCTATGTGTGCCACTTAGGACATTAAAAGTCTTCTAGGGGTGTGTGTGTGTGTGTGTGTGTGTGTGTGTGTGTGTGTGTGTGTGTTTGGGGGCCTTGTGTAGTCCGAGTCCTCTCCTCACCTCCCGAGAGCTGGGATTATGGGTATTCACCACCACGCACAGTTCTATGCAGAACTGTTATGGAACCCAAGGCCTGTCAAATGCTAGGCAAGCACACTATTAGCTTTGTTCCATCCCCAGTCCTAAGTTTCCTAATCCATTATCATTCTACATTTTCATTTAAATTTGAATGCAATAATCTTATTTCCCCTTCCAAACCTGCTTGTGCAAGTCATTGCTTCTGAAGCTTCTCCTGTGTGAAAGGACCCCAAATGCATGCTTGTACTGATTTCCCCTGTGGGGATCCTTTGCTTTCAGCCCGTGCTTCCTTACTCAGTATAGCTCAGTTGGGTACCATATCAATTCCTTCTTACCCACTACCTCCTAAGTGCTCCTTTCACTCCATCCACCTCCTAACACGTTTTTTCTACCTAGCTATTTTACAGTCTATACAGTCACCGTTTCCACTCCCCTCCATTCTGTACTTGGACAGACATTGCATCTTATGGTTGGTGTATTTCTTCTCTTAATAAGATCCTTATGTCTCTACTACCTAATTTTCACTTATCCTCTGGGACATGTGTGACTTTTTTGTCGTTGTTTGTTTGTTTTTTTCGAGACAGGGTTTCTCTGTGTAGATTTGGAGCCTGTCCCGGAACTCACTCTGTAGCCCAAGCTGGCCTCGAACTCACAGAGATCCACCTGCCTCTGCCTCCCGAGTGCTGGGATTAAAGGCATACGCCACCACTGCCCGGTGCATTTGTGACTTTTAAAGTTAGCTGTGAGTTCAAATTGTGATGCTGCCACTTATTACTGATATTTCCTTAGGTGGGTTCTTGAACTGATCTGAGCTTTAGTTTCTGTGCCTGTAAAAGGAGGAAGATAATAGCCGTAGATGTAACCAACCGTCTTATTAAATAAGAAACACAGAGCCGATTCAGAGAAGAAAGCCAAGAGGTCAGAACTAAGAGCCTTACCCTTCCAGCTTCAGCCAAGAGAGCTCTCCGAAAAGGAGCTACTTCCTGTGTGTTTGTCTTTATAAAGACTTTCGGTTCTGCCTTCTCATTGGTTGTAAACCCATGCCTCGTCACTGCCTGTCTGTACAGACTTCCAGGTCTTCTATGGTTGGTATTGAGATTAAAGGCGTGTGTCTCCAATGCTGGCTGTATCCTTTTACACACAGAGATCTACCTAGCTCTGTCTACCAAGTTCTGGGATTAAAGGCGTGCGCCACCACCGCCATGCTCTTGCTATGGCTCTAATAGCTCTGACCCCCAGGCAACTTTATTTATTAACATACAATTAAAATCACATTTCAGTACAAATAAAATACCACCATATAATAGTACTATCAATATAGTGATTGGGGAAAGTAGGCCCAGCATATCCATTTCTTAAGGATGGGAGAGTACATTCTGAGCAATGTATCACGAGGTGATTTTTGTTGCGTGAACTCAGTCTCATGGGACAACAGGTGCAGTCTCTTGTTATTCCAGTTTGAGCTCTGTTGCTATGATCAATACCACTACCAAAACCCACTTAAGGAGGTTTCTTTCATCTTACCATCATTAAGGGAAGTCAGGGCAGGAACTCAAGCAGGGTAGGAACCAATGTAGAGACCATAGAGGGAATGAGGCTTACTGGTTTGCCTCCATGGCTTGCTCAGATTGCTTTTTTTAAATACACCTGCCCAGAGATGGCCTTGCCCACAGTGAACTCACCTCGTCTGCATCAATCAAGACTATGTCCCCCAGGCTTGCCTGCAGACAATGTGATAGAGCATTGTCTCAGTTGAGATTCCCTCTTCTCAGAGGATCCTCGCTTGACAAAACAGCTAATCAGCATAGTTGTTGGCCACCATGTTACGAGGTGTATGTCTATATTAGTATTTTCAAAACGGACACATTAATTTTGGGAACAATTTAATAACTTAGCTTCTTTCCTCTATCAACAATTATAATTAATGACAGGAGAAAATTTGTGAGTGGGGATATGGCTTTAATTTTTAATTTTAATTTTTCTCATCTTTTAATTAAAAAAACATTTATTTAGTGTGTGTATGTGTGTGTGTGTGAGTGAGTGTGTGTGTGTGTGTGTGTGTGTGTGTGTGTGTGTGTGTGGTGGTGGGGGAGCAAACATGCAGAGGCCAGAAGTCAACTTTTGAGAGAGGGTCCCCTTCTACTATATGGGTTCCTTGGATTAAACTCAGGGTGGGTGGGGTGGGGGGTGTTTTGTGGGAATGCGGCTCAGGCCCAGCAGTTCTCAACAGAGCTGCCGCTGCGGCCATTGCTTCCTTGCTGCGTGAGTGATGTTGGACTTGCCCAGCCTGGCCTCCTCAGGCCGCCATCACCAGAAAAAAAAAAAAGAAGAATGTAGTTACTTTTAACCAGTTTTGGTAGTTTTTAGATTTGAATGTGAAATATCTCCCACAGGCTCACGTGTTTGAACACCTAATCCCAGCTGATGGTGTGATTTGGGAAATAAGGGAAGCTTAAGGATTTGAGCCCTGACTCCAGAATGTGGGGTGCTATGGGCTGGCCCTTGAGGGTTATAGCCTTGCCACTCTTCTGGTCCCAGTCTCTCTACTTCTGCCCAGCCACTGAGATGTGAATAAGCAGCCTCATGTTCCTGCCGTAGTCCCAGCTACTTCAGATGCCTTGCGTTTCCCACCGCGATGGACTGAGCCCTCTCAAAACAGTGAGTCAAAGTAAGTTCTTCCCTTAAGTTGCTTTTGGTCAGTATGAAAAAAGTAAGGGCCTGGCGGTGGTGGCGCACACCTTTAATCCCAGCACTCGGGAGGCAGAGCCAGGCGGATCTCTGTGAGTTTGAAGCCAGCCTGGTCTACAAAGCGAGTTCCAGGAAAGGCGCAAAGCTACACAGAGAAACCTGTCTTGAAAAAAATCAAAAAAGAAAAAAGTAATGCAGGAAATTGATACTGGGAAGTAAAAGCTATTGCTGTGATAACCCTGACCACATGGTTTGTATGTGTTTGGAAGTAGAACCCAGGAGGAATATGGAAAGAGCTTAGAGCCACCAGCTAGCAAAGCTTTAGTATGCAGTAAGCTCATAGTTCTAGGGTAAAGGGGGATGCCAGGTTGGCAGCAGTTTAAGAGAGCTAGTCATATCCTATCCCTAATCAGGAGCAGAGAACACTGGATGCATGCACTGTAGTGCTGAGCTTACTTATATGCTTCAGAATCCTCTGCCTAGGGAATGGTGCTACCCACAGTGGGTGTGTCTTCCCACCTCGTTTACTGTGGTCAAGATAGTCTTTCATAGACATGCCCACAGGCCAGCCTAATCTAGACAGTCCCTCATTGAGACTCCTTTCCCAGGTGATTCTAGATTGTACCAAATTGACAAAACTAACCATCACAATAAGTAGACAACGCGCAAGAGTTACAGGGTCT